AAAAGAAAGCTGTCTCTGGTGTGGACCAATTAGTTTAAAAAACAATGCATATATTATCAGAGTATGTTTTTTGTTTAAATTCTGACCACAAGTATTGTGGTGAATGCAGATATGATTCCTTGTAAAAGGTTTCAGTTTGATGTTTTAACATCTTAACACCTGTTTTGTTACTAGAAGAAAGGGGGAAACCTATTCTCATATTTTGGTACTGGCAAAGGAGGTCCCATGATGTATGAGATGTTAATCATTAAGATTCACGAGGAAAGAACAGCATGCCTACGTTGTTTGACCATGGCTAACATATAACACGTGGACTCTATATAAAGAGGCAAACTTTGTCAAACGGAAGACAGGGTCGAGATAATACAGCCAAACAATTGGCAGAACTCCATACTTTTGACAAATCGCATCCTTTTCTATCAGACGGAGACTTGACAGGATTCTCAGTCTCTCCAGGAATAAAATATAGAGTTTTAGGTTTAAAAGGCACATACGTTTGTACTGTCCAGAAAACATTAACTTTCATATAAACCATAGCAATTTGAAAATAATTCAAATATATGCTAAAATACCAGCCATAAAAATGAAAGTAAATCAAATAAATGAAATTCCGAAGCTACGTCCAATTGAGGGTAAAATTAATTACAACATTGTCATTTGTGAATCGAATACAAAAGTATGTTCAAAGTGCAGAGATGGTAAGTTTGGTATTAGAATTATGAATGAGAGAGATTGTAAGGCCTGTTAGATTTGCCAGCAGGGACATATACAGATAATGATAACCTTTGTCAAAAAGGAATGTAAATGATGAATGGAATCTAGTGACGCACATATACCGAGATGTAGAGGGATGTACGTGCACGAAATATAAATACATCTCTGTCCTTAGCATTTTCAATACAGGAAATTTGATGTATTTCAATATGGAATTTTGTGGCAAACTAGAACACATTTCTCAATGAAAGGGTGCTTGCCTATAAACATGGAGCAGTTCCGTTTTGGGTTCAAGCACGAAATGTTTAAATTGGTCCAGTTTCCTTGTATTTAACCAATGCTGCTGATATGATGCACTCCCAGAGTGGCTGACGGGTTGTGTAAGAAAAAAATAACGTCTTCTTCTGGAGAGACATGAGAAGTTGTTCTTTATTTTGTCATCAACACAGGAAGTGATCACAGACTTGTGCAATGCACGGTACACTTCAACATAGTCAGAACATGGCAAAGCAAATTACTGTAAAAATTAGGTAACTGATTTTCGTGAAGTGTGATCAAACAAGCCCCATAACTGACTCGGCTTAGAAAGGCCTTAATCCATCAGTGGATTGACAGGGCTGTAAATCATCATTAAAATAAGGCACAACTTTTTTCCCCTTACACTGTAACAGTACTGCACTTTGAGCGTACATGTGAGTGGTTAGACTTACACATGACATTGTAAGTTCAAACTTTTTTTTCGTTGTTCAATCATTAAACTTAAACTTAGGATGCATACACTTAAAACATTGCTGCGTTGTACCCAAGACAATCAAGTAATTAACCTTCACAGCTCCTGATCTGCCTGAAGTCAGTAATGTTTAGCCGGCTGACCTCACGAACAGTAACACAATAGTTTACACCGAGCATCACGAGAAAAACCGGTAATATAAGGAGATGGGAACATTAGCCTTGCAAGTAAATACACTGAATTATGCTGTGGTTTACACCACCAACACAATGAGCATTTAACACTTTCATACGCTGCGCTGCTGCATAAGAATCATGAGAAACTTAAGGCCTTCTTTTACCATACTGTACGACCAAAGATAACGCTAAACAACCAACACCACCACCGCTTCATCATAACAGCTGAGTCTATTTTCATTATAATGCAGTGTTATTGATTATTGTGGCTTTCGATTTTTCTCTCTCTCTCTCTCTCCAAACTCTGCATAAGCGATAGGGTTGGATGATTCAGTTATAGCCCACCCCCCAACCCACCAACCACTCACTCACACAAGTGGTCACAGTGGTTGGCTTGGGTGGAGGGTGTACAATGGAAAAAAAAGGATGCGTGTCCCTCTATTGTCCAAGTGCCCGAAGACAGCCACTGAATCGGTTTCACTCCGCGGACGGCGAAACAAAAGACTCCACCTCAGGTTTTGTGTGACACAATAATACGCACGGTGGGCAGGGTCAGGGTCGCGTCCCGTAGCCCACCTGGCACCATCGTGCCGACACAAAGCGGTCGAGGTGCTACAGGGAAACGCTCAATTTTGAGATTGCTGGGGAAAAAAACCACACGGGTGTTCTACTTCATCTGGAAAGGAGAACGCCTTTTTTTCCTGCTGTGAGGTAAGAGAGTGAGAATGCTCCTGGTGGATGAGTAAACACTTGGCAAAGCGCCGAATGCAATGTGGATTTACGTCGCATCTAAATGTGACCGCATCTCAAGCTGGTGTATAGAAAAAAGTGGGCCATATGTGTTTTATATAAATAGGCAGTCAGTCATAGGCAGAGGAAAGGAGGAAAGGTCTTGAGCCGAGCATTGAACACGAGCAGGGAGTCTACAGCACGGATGGCAGGGGGATGGGAATTTCAGAAAAGGCGGGCAACATGGGAGAATGAGCAACCACACAGGGAATGGATATTGACAAGGGGCTTCGATTAAAATAAACCCTGGTTCTTTGAGCAGAGTATGTGCAGCGGAGTGTGTGTGTGTCTATGGAGTGTGTGTCTATGGAGTGTGTGTGTGTGCAGCGGAGCGTGTGTGTGTGTGGAGTGTGTGTGTGTCTATGGAGTGTGTGTCTATGGAGTGTGTGTGTGTGCAGCGGAGCGTGTGTGGAGTGTGTGTGTGTCTATGGAGTGTGTGTGTGCAGCGGAGTGTGTGTGTCTATGGAGTGTGTGTGTATGGAGTGTGTGTGTATGTATGGAGTGTGTGTGGAGCGGAGTGTGTGTGTGTCTATGGAGTGTGTGTGTTTATGGAGCTGAGTGTGTGGAGCGGAGTTTGTGTGTGTCTATGGAGTGTGTGTGTTTATGGAGCTGAGTGTGTGGAGCGGAGTTTGTGTGTGTCTATGGAGTGTGTGTGTGCAGCGGAGTGTGTTGAGCGGAGTTTGTGTGTGTGTGTGGAGCAGTGTGTGTGTGGAGCGGAGTGTGTGTGTGCAGCGGAGTGTGTGTGTGGAGCAGAGTGTGTGTGGTGCAGCGGTGTGTGTGTAGAGCAGAGTGTGTGTGTGTGTGCGTAGGGAGGAGGGTAGTCGAGTGAAATGAGAGGGCAGGTGAGCTGTGCCAAGTTCATGAATTATCTTGAAGATGGCTGATAGATTGGACTGGGGATCACCAGAGGGATCTGAATCTTGGGGTGATGTGGTATTGTTTACGGCGAGAGGCCATGTACAGTACTAATATTAGGTCACTCGTAGTGCTGTTAATTTATACTCCTAATTTATGATGAGAACAAGTTTGGAAATGGCTATACTATTAAACATCATTTATGCCTCGAGTTTCCTGGCTGGCTGCTGGCTGGGCACCTCTCCATTGCCACCGAAGCTTGCTGGGTAACTGGGTATTTGGGATTTTCCGTTTAACAAATAAACATTGCATTGCGATGACGGAAGACGTTCGAAAGACACTTTAAAGGTAGTAACACCGACTAGGTAGTAACAACAAATTCATAAGACTGACACGGATAGTTCAAATTTCCTCTATCCCTTCAAATTCTGCTCTGATGGATGGTATTCTTTCGCCAGAATATTCTTTATATGCTCGAGACTATAGACACACCTCACAATACACATTACCTTGGCAATGTATTACACAAAAGGGCAGATTTTTGTGCTCCGATTACAGGGTTATGGGAAGAGTATGGAAATGACAGGTGTCTTATTTTAAATTGGATAGCTGTTGTCTTTAATGCTCCCTGATATGCATGCATCTTGACGTCTACACTGTGGTGCTCGGCGGTGACATGGAATCACCAACCACTCAAATATTGTCTCTTGATTAACACAATTCAATCTTACAGTCTGTATTACCCAGCATGATTTGAATGTACATTTCAGAGACATCTTTTTGTAAGGGCACTTAAATGAATATACGTGTTACTGCAGGGTATATTTATAGTCAAATGTAAAATAATATCAAGCAACATAAGCTCGTGCCTTCATAGATCAGGCCGTGAACTCGGTTTCAGGGTGTGTGCTGCTCATGATTGCGTCTGCGCTTATCAAGGCCTCGTTGGGGCTCTTTGTGGCTTTACATTTTTAAACGCTGCCCCCGGTTTGAGTTTCCCACGTGAGGGATCGGTGAAACGCTAATTTATTGATGCCTGTTTGCATAGATCAGCTTACAGCTGAAGGGCTAACACTGAATATCACTACAGGCCAGGTACACAAACAGCATCGCAGTCTCACACATTGTCACGGTAACTGCGTTTTGTTTTCCTCCTCTGGAAGATAACTTTGTTCGTCATTTAAAACAAAACAAATCATCACTGTAGGCTCTTGTGTTGAAATTAATAAACGACAAAGCAATTATATAGCAGTTATGTGAAGCATTCCGTTCGTCCCTTGAAGCCATGAAAATACATTTTGGTGGCCAGCGCTTGAACAACAGCAAAGATATTCATTTACACGTTCACACATCCTGAAGGCAAAAGAAGGTCGCCAGCCGAGAACTTTGGATTCTGCTGCTTGAGCTGAGGGTACCCAGAAGGAACATGACACTTCTTTAAGTGGTTTCTGTATCCGGTATAGTATATTGGTGTATGATATAGAATACCGCGCATAATGTGTGTTGTGTTGCACGCTTCAATGGTGTCTGGCGTGCTCAATTCCAGCTGCTAATAGCCTAGTATAATGCGAAGAAGTACATTTGCCAACCTCATCATCTGACTATAACGTTGGTACAGGACGTGGATCAACTGTCAAAAGAGGAGCGAGACTGATCACTGCGACAGGTCAGCCACCAAGATTGGCGAATGTTCTACAGGTGTGTACCATGTATTTATGTCCATTTCAAAGCAGACTAAATTAATGAATGCTTTAGATATCTATTGTATAATGTTATATAACACTGTATTTTGCCTTTCGGATGCGTCACAGAGTAAACGTAATGCTATTTATGGAACTGGAAATGTGAATCCTTATCCTGTTTGTTTTTTTTATAAGGGATGGGGGGAGGGTCATGCATTCGTTGTTCATTTTTTTTTGTTAAAGAGTACATCAAGGTGGCCAGGTGGCTTGGCGGGCAGAGCACTGAGTTGGTACTGCTGAGATCCTGTGTTCAGATCTCGACACCCGTAATAAATAAGCCAAAACACTGAACACATTCATCAATAACACTGGCATAAAAGGTAATATATACACACATTGGATGCCATTTTGGGCAATGGCCCTTCTTAATAGCACACAAATTGAGAGGCCAGAGAAATTAAGTGGATGGCAGTTGAATAACCCAGGTTCTCAAGTGTCTCACGTTGATGGCCTCAGCATAGTCCCTTGCACGAAAAAAAACCCACCTCGTTGAAACATTTTCATTTAAGAATTTGACTTAAACATTTTATTGTTTTATTGTTTTATATTCTTATTATTTTATTGTTTACCTTCGACGTGACTTTACCGAAAGAACCAAGAATATGAATCCCTGCAGTCACGAAAACTTTAAATCAAAATTTAAACATTTAGCTTTGTTTGGACATTAAAAGAACAGAGCTTTTGTTATGCGTGGGAGGAAACAGAAATGTTTGAGGAGATAACACTCAAAGGTCCACACCAGAGGGTTCACATGTCCACCCTCTGTGCTGCTGCCACCTACCAGCCACCTTCTACCCAGCAGGTTTGGGACTTTCACTGCGAGATCCACCAACGTTTGCCTCCAAAGCGCTGTATCACGCCCGCGCACAAGGGCAGCACATTCAACTATATTCACTGTCCTTTGCACTGCATTCACCTACTGAATATGCATATGTGTGTTTTTCTTATACATTATAGCACTTTGTATATATATACAGAAATCAGTATTTTCCTTAATGAAGTACTGTAATTATATTCTTCTCCATTTCAATGGATTTCGTAATGCACAAAACATGGCCACAAAAAATAATAATGTTCATTATAATGGACACATATTTCATAGTTGAGCTGCGCTCTTAATGAGCACAAAGAATGCCATTACTGGAGCACAAAGACAAATTGTATGAGGGGCCCTCATTAATCTCTGTTGTTGGCTAGCTGGACACAGTTCTAGCCTAATGAGTTGTTGCCGGGTTTGGCAGATGGAACACGATGTTGTGTTAAGTGGGCACGAATCTAGGGTGCGCAGATTGGAAGCGCGCTGGTGGCATCGATGTAATGATGATATGAGACCGCTCTGCGATGAGTGGGTTACATCACGTCATGCTCTCGGTGATTCTGTAGTGTTGGTGAACAACTTGAGTGCGCAGAGGGTTCGGTAAGTGTGCACTGGAAGAAATTCTCAATGCAGAGTGGAACACTCTACGTTAATTGTTTCTGTGAGTGTAAAAAAAAAATAAGCCTCTGCCGACTGGATGCCTCGGGCAGTTTCATGTGGTTGGGCAAAGATCTGATAAATTAGCTTCAGCAAAATAGCTGCTGGCGGTAGTGCATGACAATTGTAAAGTCAAGTTTATTTGTTACATCAGGTGAGAACTCAAGAGGCCATGATACAGTCGTCTTACTTTCCTAGAGCGAATTGCGAAAGAAGCATTATGTTTTGTTTGAACTATTTTGACGGTTTTAACCATTAACAAGATGCATTTAAGTGCGGTTGTCACTAATGGCCTCTTGGTGAAGGATTGCAGAGCAAAGCTGGTGTGCGTCCACAAGCTGCCCGGGTAATGTTCTCCGACAGTAAATGCCAGCTTGTGACAGGGAAGTCTCCGTGGGCTGACCCAGGGAGGAGCGAGACTGCTGCGGTCACTGAGAACAGCTGTGCCGGGAAGGCGCGCTTCGTCTAATTTGTGACAAGTCACTCTGGGGATGTAGGCTGCATCGCTGAGCCGCACTGCAACACTGAAAAAGCGGCCTGCGAGCTCTAAACTTACAGCCGCCTCTGCAAACTCGGTCGCAGCTATCTCTCTCTCTCTTCAGTGGGCCGAGAATGAATAGGATTAGCGGGATATGAATTTCCTTGTCCCCTTTTCGCCTGGCTGAAGCTGACCAGCATATAGGTCACACGTCTGCAGTCCTGTTCCTGCTTGTGCGGTTCGTGTTTGTGTGTTTGTGTGTGTGCGAACGGCTGTCTAGTTAGGATCTGTACGGCAACACACGAGGCGTGTGTGGTTGATTTGTTGAGTTTGTGGCTGTTTGGCGACGGGAGACTTTGTGCGCACCTTGTGGCCGAGTTTTGCGAGATGCAGACGGATCCCCTGAAGGCACGGCTTGTCGCGTTCGCGTAATCAGATTATCGTACTGTTTCGCGATTATAACGAACACTGTTACATGGTGGTTATACTGCCGAAGTAACGATCTCAAAGTATGTGCAGAATGAAATACGTCTCGTAAAACGTCGTTAACATTGAACTTTCCCCAAAGTATTTTGAGTTTGAAGCGTGTACTTTCGCAGACGACATGTATGACAATAACATCAGTCAGAATGATGTCTCGCTCTTAAACGTGCATTCTCATTCGTAAAGTTCAACAGGTGTGTACGCCTTTGAGTAATCGCACGTCGTGTTCTTATTCCCGACAGCGTATATTTTTGCTAAAACTCAGAAAGATGTCGACGAAGCTGATCAAGTTTGAGCAGCTGAAGGACCCCTCGGACACTTGGGAGTTGGTGGAGACCATCGGGAAGGGCACCTATGGGAAGGTGTACAAGGCGACGAGCCGGAAGGATGGCAGCAAGGCTGCTGTCAAGACCCTGGATCCCGTGAACGTGGGTTCTTGCCCGGAGAGCCAATCATTTGTAATGCATTCAATCAGGGCTGTGTGGATCTTAGGTTGAACACGTAGGGATGTGTCAGGTCAGATTTTGTAATGTGTTTGAGGTTATTAGAGAGCACTGACTATTTTTTTTTATGGGATAGGTGATACTAGCGTGGACATAAATGCCCTAAATATATCCAGACAAACATTTTCGCCTTGAGTATGTTGTAGATTTGAGATGGATTATAAAGGCAAGAGAACTAAGGATAGCATATTGCTTTACATTTGAATATAATAATGGATCAATGAATCCTCTGCTGGAGCACATGGGCTAAATGTTGGGTGTTGGTCAGCCCCACGTTACCTGATCTGTCCCATTAGTTATTTCACACTATTTACCCAGCTGTGGTGCTTGCAGGGGTGGTGTTTGTAAAACTCGTTGTACAGGTCACGACTTGGCTGTAGTATTTTGAGTGGCTGAGCAACTCGGGGAAGTCACCTATTGCATTAAGATGAATAAATAATAGCTGCCAACACACATGATTCCTTGTAAAATGTTTCAGTTTTATTGCCAGAAAAAAGGGGGAAAATCCTATTACTATATTTTGGTACTGGCAAAGGAGGTATAATGATGTAGATGCTCACCCCGAGCCCTCATTACTTTGATAGTGCATTGTCTTTGAGCTGTACGCCTTCTGGCGTCCTCTGGTCTAGCACCAATTGAAACGAGGCTCAAAAGAAAGACGTCTTTGGTGTGGAACAATCAGTTTCAAGGGCAATATATATGTTATAAGAGTGTTTTTTGTTTGCATTTTTGACCACAAGTATAGTAGTTAATGCAGACATGATTTCTTGTAAAAAGGTTTCAGTTTTGTTGCCAGAAAAAAGGGGAAAACCCCCTATTACTATAAGGGAATGATAAAGCGTTAATGCTTTTAAATAAAAAAAAGAAATTAAGAAAGATTGGTAGCATTAGGTGAGTCATTTTACATATGTTGTATACATACATGAAAATAATCTAGATTTTTCACCTTATAATATATTATTAATTAATGATGAAATATGATTTATAATAACATCATCTACATATACCAATGTATTTTATTTTTTCATAGCTTTCAAACTACGTAAAGGAGTTCATATTGAAGGATTTCCTGGGTAAATAATGGGCAAAATTATTTTAACATACGGTACATACTATCCATCAGATTCTAGAAAAGAAAAATTAATCTGAACTATCCATTATGCCTTTTGTAGACTATTAAAAGGCATTTGATGCAGTGGAAAATGACACGGACTTCTAAGCTTTCCCAATTAGTGAGGGGCCTTAATAAAATATGTTGAAACTATATGAACCAATTATGAAGATTGAACAGCTAATTTGAGATTAAAGTAACAATATCCAAAGCAAAAGAGGGGTCAGGATAGGAGATACGCTCTCACCCAAGACATTCACTGACACTGCAATATACTTTCCCAGTTTTGTATATAAAGGTAAAAAAACATGATGCAAGTAATACTATTTCATATTTACCAATGGTCTAGTCATCAATCAATGTTAATGAACTACATGAAATTATCTTATCTTATACAGATTTATATAGTGCCGTATTCCAACGCACTTTACAACAATTATAAAATTGTACATTCGATGATGGTGGTTAAAATAAAGATTTGGATGATTTTTAAGTGGTGATGTAGTGATGTCAGGAGGACAGGCGGGGGTCGTTAAGGGAGTGTAGTTGGAGGCCTGGTCCAAGCTGGGGAACAAGGGGAAGGAGGAGTAGTAGGAGGATGGGCTAGGGAGAAGGGATGGGTTTTCAGGGAGGAACGGACGCAGGTTATAGTGAAGGTGATTGTTTTATGTGCAGTGGGAGTTGGTTCCAGTGAAGGGGAGCAAGAAGGGTAAATGAACGAAAGCGATACTCTTTGGTTCTTTTGGTAAAGTTACGTAGGTGAAAAAATAAAATAAAAATAAAAAATCTAGAAACTTCAAATCTAGGATGAACGAAAGTGAGACTGGGCACAGGGCGTAGGAGCCACAGAGAGGGACAGTAGAGGATGGGATGGAACATCGTAACGCCTTCATCCAGCAGCAGTGGATAGAACATGACTGATCATTATGATATTTCCTATGTAAATAATATTTTTTTTACCTTGCATTGATTATAAAGTCAGTTTTGATGATGGATGATGATAAATATTTGTATAAATGCATTGCAGAAGTATGTTAGGCTCATCAACATTAGGGTTTTAGAAAGCAGAGACATTTTGCAACTACAGTACATTGAACAATGACACCTTTTTTACGATTTGCGCTGTATGTACGTGTATTGAACTTCCTACACACCATACGAAGCCAACCATATTAATCAGAGGTGTGCTGCTTGTCTGGGTCACCAATTGATAAGTTCCGAGGGCATGCACCAGCCCTCTGTCTTCGCTCACACAATGTCCATCAGCAGGATATTGACGAGGAGATCGAGGCGGAGTACAGTATCCTCACCTCCCTGCCGGAGCACCCCAACATCGTCAGATTCTTTGGCATGTACTACCAGAAGGACGGCGTCAATGGGGACCAGCTGTGGATCGTCCTTGAGGTAACCATAGGGCCCACTCGCCAACAACTGGACCCAGCACATCACTGTTATCAACGCTGATTTATATTTGTAATATATTCAATTCCTCACGTGGTACGGTGGTGTGTGTTTGGTCCGATTGCTTTTCTGTATTGCTGTATATAATTGTGTTTGTTTTGTTTTCGTTCTTTTGGTAAACAAGGTAACTCTTGCAATTAAGACTATCCTGGTCTCTCACCTGGGAAGAACAAACAAAAAAACGTGAAGCTATTGTTCTGAGTGCAAGCATATCTAACCGGCAGGTGGCTTAGTGACTAGTATCGTTGATATGTATAATACAGTACATTGGTCACAAATTTAACTGCTCATATTTGTTTCAAAACAACTATTTTTGGAGTTGTCCTCAGCCCACTCTGCATGTGATCTCTGTGGAAGGTTGTGTCGTTCAAACCCTGGTCTTGCGAGTCACAAGCAAATTCACAGGAGCCAAATATAACAACTCAAAGCCGTAATTATAATATATATTGGGGGGGGGGGGACACATCCCCCAATATTCAAATATGCTCAAAATGTCCCCCCAAATATATTGCTATAAAATTGATTTCTGTTTATATGATTGTGGTTATGGTTGTACTTTATGAATCCCTAATCTCTGACATTACATACAATGAAACAAGAAAAGGTAAAAAATAAAAAAAACAGAGCAATGTAATACAATACACTATTATACATTATTGTAAAATATAAATAAAAAGTCCATCCTATGTGTTAGTGAATTTTTTTATATTTTAGCCAGGAAATGGCACAAAATTCATTTTCAAATTTAGATTTCTTTTCTGGGGCGGGACCTCCAGACCCCCTGGAAGATTTGGTCCCCCCCAATGTTGACTCCATGGCTACGGCCTTGTAACAACCGTATATGATGCCGAAGGATTACCAACTCCAGATGCCAAAATGTGTGTCTATTATATATTCGTTCTGTTATAAGTCAGTGTTAATGATAAACATGATGAGTATTTTCATAATCTACAATGTTCTCCAACATAGGAGAGCAATTATAGTATTAAATATCCATTAAAAGTATTGCCTTTTACAAAATCACCATGAATGTGCCCAAAGATCTCAGAAGTTATCTTGAGCCTCGTTAATCTTAAGATGGGAGAATTCTGCCAGAGAAAATCTGTTATTGCAGGCATGGGCTGCAAGGTGTCCATAAGATGACAGTAAACAATGGGTGCTTGATTCTATTTGTTGTGTCTTAGTCCCATTGTATGTGTGGATTCCACCTGGATCTCTGGTGTTTTACTCTCACAAGACAAACACTCATTATTCAAATTGGCCAAACATTTCAGTTGAGAACACTCATGAAAAAGAGTCTCGTGAGGCTTTGCTGGGTAAACACATATGTATTTGGATAGAGTGGTGGCACAGTGGTTAGCGCACTGGGCTAGGACATCTTCAGCCGAAGTTTTATTCCCAGCCATGGTTATCAATCACTGGAAAATGAAATCTAAACAGGACTAGTCCAAGCCATCCCCGCTCAATCTCATAATTGATCAACAACTATGACCAACAGAGTGTGGTGGAGGCTTTTGTCCTGCAGTGGATTGACAAGGGCTATAAATTACTGTTACAGTGTTATATTTTTTGTATAATTATTATGACTATATGTAGCTGCCAGAAAAACACCGGTGAGTAAGCACACACAAATTGCTCATTCGTTCACACATTCGATGGTAAATTATAACAAAGTTGACCCATGCTACAGTGATTGCAAATCCAGATTGATCCCTGTGCCTGCAATTGTTCAACTGTACGATCGAATATGCTTCTTCCTTAAGCTGAATGTCCACGCTTAGACCTCTGAATCCACCCAATTACAGTACCCACAAATTTGCTCCACTTTTCCACGGGAACCTCCCCCCCCCCCCCCCCCCATGGATAATGGAGGATAATGGGGTGAAAAAGGGCCACGGATAATTGGAGTTTCCGCAGCCCTTCAGCTGCCAGGGATCATAGTCGTCGTAGGTAATAGGGTCCCGGACAAGAGGAACTCGCCTCCACTGTGGCCTTATGTGGCGGCGGCGCAGCTGTGCCCCAGGGGTGTGAGTGCTGCCACGCCTGCTGCTTGTGTTGTGCTGTCTCAAGCTGTGCAACGGAGGCTCGGTGACGGACCTGGTGAAGGGCCAACTGAAGCGCGGAGAGCGCATGGACGTCATGCTCATCGCTTACATCCTCCGCGGGGCCCTGCTGGTAAGGGCCCATCGGGGCAGGGGCACGGAGACGAGGTTTTCCCATTCTAACCGGGCTCTGCCAGGGTGCATCCATGTCGCAGTGTGGCTACATCTCGCGGTGGAGCGAAGAGCCCATGGCTTCTCGTGTATGGGGTTCCTGTTATAACGTCTAGATGTCCGGTTTTATTAAGATACGTTTGTTAAGTTAAAATCCTGTCATGCTTCATTGGGAAAATCTGTCAGGAGTTATTTTAGAGCTGATTTGTCAAAAGTTAATGGAAATGAAGTGTATTGTCAGTTTCTAGGTGTGTGCATCTTTTTGTGAAAATATTTGCCACAACAGCACAGAGTGATTATTAAATTTGGTGTTTTTAAGGCAGTTAAATATCATACGATAATATTGTAAGTATTAGAACGTTGCATTGTAATTTCAATAACATGGCACCTTTATTGATAATGTACATATCTTCTGTGTCCATTCAGGGATTAAATCACCTCCACAGCCACAATATCATCCACCGGGACATCAAAGGAAACAACATTCTGCTCACTACGGATGGGGGCATCAGACTTGTCGACTTTGGTATCTCACGAGCTACTGGCTTGACATTTATATAGTTTCACCCAAATATTCTACAGTACAGTAATTCCCCGGCTTATGTCGGGGATACGTTCCTGAAAGGTGCGACGACGAATATCGGGTAGGTGGAGGTGAAGGCGACGGATACGAGAAAGGATGGATGATGCTGTCAGCGACGTAAGTGCAGGATGAGGCGACGCAAATCAGGTTGTGATGTTAATACAGTGACGACGTATTTGCGAAACGACTTAAAAATTGGGGAGACGTAAATCGGGGTATTACTGGACTGGCCTTAATAGGTTCTCCCTACGGCTCAGTGTGTTTTTTTTTTTCCCCCCCCAGCCCAAGTAGGGGATCATTGTTGTGTATTCGTGTTTACAGGTGTATCAGCCCAGGTGTCAAAAACTCGGGTGGAAAGAAACACAGCAGTGGGCACCCCGTTCTGGATGGCACCTGAGGTTGGTTAACTTGTGGTGTGGTTATTTCTACTCCATGAGTTTTCATGGTTGTGTTCTATAGATCTCCGTACCTGAAAAAGCTGCCGGTACATGAAGCGAAATATCGGACACCATGCCGAGGAACATACGGTACAACCCCAAAATACATCAGAGTATTTCTGCTTGCGGTAATGCAAAACCCACTTCTTGTGTTGCCATGTTTGGTTTTGTTGGAGCCAAATTGTGATTAACATGTAATACGATATAACCAAACATCATTAGCCATTGTCCGCTATTTGATTGCATAGTCATTATCGTCGAGGTAAATAAGAATTACGTAATACGTGTGTTTTACATAAATAGACTAGCAGCACAAAACAGGCTTTCACCCAGTGTTGTCAGAGTACTGTATTTTGTTGTATATACAGTCTAAGAATATGTCAAAAAGCGACCAATACAAACATTCTAGAATAAAGTAACAGATATGAGGCACGTGTGTGTGTTTTTCTATTTTTTATATGAAACATTTTTAAAAGAACGATTTGCACATTCAAACGTGCAAGGGTGTGTTCCATCGCAGCGAACTCTGAAGCACATCGGCTTGCCTTGACAAGCACACGTCAAAACATAACCACAGTCAAGCAGCCTTTGGTCAGATCATTCTGGTCACAGCTCAGTGAACCGAGCAAAAGGGAGCACACGCAATTACAGCACCCTCTTTTGTTTGCGTCGCACCCGCAGCGTGTGCACTCTGGCGGTTCCGATTGATCTATTGTTCCCGGGCGCAGGTCATCGCCTGCGAGCAGCAGTTGGACTACATGTACGACAGGCGCTGTGACGTCTGGTCCATGGGCATCACGGCCATCGAGCTGGGGGATGGTGACCCCCCGCTGTATGAGCTGCATCCCATGCGCGCCCTCTTTAAGATCCCACGGTGAGCGGCACTGGGAAAGGTGGCAGGGCGAGGGATGGGAAATCGATGGGTTTGTGCACCACGTGCATTAGCGGCTGGGCCCTTCGGTGTGCGGTGTGCCGCACCGCTTGACTGGCGGGGGAAGGTGAAACTGTATTCCTGCTTGCGCAAGTCTCGGTGTGAATATTTATGGAGATTCTGAAGTTCAGGGAATTTATGTGTCAACAGCACCCATCCATGCCAGTAAAAAGGCAGGGGCATCTGACGTATCGGCTGGGCGCTTGTTAACGTGGACTTGACAGTATCAAAGCCAGCAGTTATGTTTGACCAAACAATGCATTTATTTTGTGGTGGCTGCAAATGAGGAATCCTGGAAAGTAACCGAGGGAAACATTTGCCTGACATTCTTAAAGGAAGAACAAAGTTGCCTCGTGGTTAGTCCTGTCACCAACTTTCAGCACCCTTCAGTGTCAACTGCTCTTTGCATCATGATAGTCTTCTCAAATGAATAATTATTCCTGCTTGGCAGAAACATTGCATCTAGGTTTGTTATATTATGGTCATGATTGCGACCTATTTACATGTCGCATCTGCACAGTTCACCTGTTCTAATGCTCAATATCTTTGTGTGTTGCTGCAGTGCATGCTTCCGTACATTGACGTGAGCCATGTGTTTATGCAGAAATCCTCCTCCAACACTGAAGCAGCCAGAGCTCTGGCCTCCACTGTTCAACGAATTTATAGCACAGTAAGTGATGCCCACTGCAAACGTTAGATCAGGGCTGCATTAACCAACGAGGCTACTTGCATGCCTGCTGTGTTAATAATGTGTCCATGGGTAGTACATTGTAACGGACAGAAATAAGATGCGAAGGCAAGGTATAGTGACATCAACAGCCTGAGCTGTCAGTGATATCCATTGCACGTATCCATGCTTCTGCATGAATAGCTCTTTTGAGATGAATTTAAAGACTGTTCCATGCCACAGTGCGCAATTATGGAGCAGTGGAAAAGCAAGATATTCATTTTGATTAACTGAACTGATCAAACGTCACTCCAGCAACACGTGACCGCAACACTTGGAGAGATTTAATTATATGGTTTTGCAATTATAGAATTTTAATGCTTACATTTTTAAGTGCACTATAAATCCGTGCTTTGATGTCCTCTCTACATTAGCCTGAAGGGCTCTAGACCTGCATGCATGCCTCTCCACGCAATGCTTCTACTATAAAACAATTTATCCCTCTACCCCATATAATTGGCAGGAATGTCAAATGTTTCACTTCGGCAGTAACCCCTAATAGGGTAAGCGAGCGGTTTCCGCATTGCTCAGCATTCCGCACTGACGCACCGGTGGCTGTGCAGGTGCCTGGTCAAGGACTTTGAGCGCCGGGCCACTGTGTCCCAGCTGCTGGAGGATCCGTTCATCCAGCAGGTGGAGGGCCGCGAGCAGGAACTCCAGAAGCAGCTGACGGAGCTCATTGACCTCCACCTGCAAATGGGCAACATTCAGAAGATCAGGTGACTGCTCTGCCTCTCATTGCAGACTTCAATAAAAGGCGCTCAGTTTGGAGCGCCCTGTGTACAAAAGGGGTTAAATAATTCAACTCCATGCCTATTCAATGAATTTTCGCAAATTCAGAATGGTTTAAATTAAAAAAAAATTGTCAATTGTAGTAAATGGTAAAACCGTATTTGTAATTACCCTAAGATAAAGACTTTTACACATGTACATGGGCAAGAACCATTTCAGTTGTCTATGCCATCCATTGTTTGTGCTTTGGGTAGCGTTGTGAACATATAACCACTGTTGTAAACATCTCTTATGGGAACATTCCCGGCAACCTTATTTTAAAGATAGAGAAAAGTTATCGTACTTGTGTAAATATTAATACTAACACTAATTAATATTTAAGTCAAATAAGTCCACGAATAAACAACAACAGATATTAGATGGCAGATTTGGATAATGTGTTTTATTAAATTGTTATTGCCCCGCAAGCCAAATACATTCTTGGAAATATGACCCAGGATTTCTGAGGTTACTTTGATCACTGAAGCTTCTAAAGATCCACAAATTATGGATCATCATCAAACCAAACCCTTCCTCTAACATTCATAATGTGCAAATTCCCTTTGCATTCTTTGTGTGAACAGCTTGCAGTCATAATTGATAAGAGCACATTTGAAACGTTGACCTTTTCCGTATATAATATCATTGGCGGTCGCATTTTAACATCCTTCATCGGTGCCTCTCTTAATATGGAAATTGAGGTGACTGTCCCATTTCAATTCGAACATATTTGAAATATCATTGCCGGTCGCATTTTAACATCATTAAAACCATTAACATGCGGGGAAAATACATTGTTTTATATCAGGTCACACGAGTCATTTTCTGGAGTCATAATTGATTTATTGTGAAGATTACCAGTAAGCAGCTTGAGCAGAGCAACAGGGGGCCTCTTCTAGCGGAAGCAGAAATGAGCTGAGCTAAGTCCGTACTCCGTAAGTCCTGGGGCTCGAGTGCGCCCGCACGATGCATTGGGAAGGCGTGAGCCGGAGAGCGAGACGCTCTGCTGACAGCATGGCTGTGCGTGCCTGATGGGGTCCTACTTCCATCAGCTCAGACAGTGTGTCTGGCCATTAGCCGGTGTGCAGACTGACTGCTTTAGGAAGGGTCGGAGGTAAGCAGACGTGCTTGGTGGAACACGTCAAGAATATGTTGCATGACGGGGTGCTTACCTTAAATAGTCGGTTTTAAAAACGTCGCTCTTAAAAACGTTTGAAATTGTACGCTGTGTTTTTTTCTTTGATGAGCAAAAAGAACCTCAGTTATGATGAGAACATCAAGTCAGGATAGCAAAAGACACTGCTTGGTAAAGGAACGTCTTTTAAAATTCCACGAATATTAAGCTCAAGCTCTTACAAAGTGCAAGTCTTTGGCCTTGGCGGCAGCATTGTGTGATGTGTGGGTTTGTGAGGGAATGTGCTGCCACGAACGCTCTGGCTTCATCTCAAGCAACCTCGAGTAATCCCCCGTGCTTGAACGCAGCAGGAAGGGAAGCAGTAGTGATTGAATGAGTCTCGTAGCCTTTGAATTGTTGCCTTGAGCAGAATTCAAATGTAAAAGTGTTTATGCATTAGGTGAACACTGAAAGCTAGCCGGTGAAATTCGCTTTATTTTTAGGTTAATTTAATGTAGATTAAAAAAAATTCTCTCAGGTATGGAGGACTCGTTTTATATCTGCATGGAATATTACTTTTATTTATGTTTGTTTACTCTTTAATGGAAATTACTTTGCATATTTATGTGGTACATAAACTTAATCTACCTATCATCTTATGTACAATTTTATAATTGCTGTAAAACACATTGGAATAAGGCACTGTACACTGTGCATTTATATAAGATGCGATTTTTAAGAAGTTAATGGATTGTACAAAATCTTTGAAAATATATGGATTCTTTATCATCGAATCTACTGTTGAATGATGGCCTCATTACGTCGTATTGGTCATGGGATTGTTTGACTCTACTTCACCACACTGGTCAGTGTGGGTTGGTAAAGAGGTAGGGGGCACACAGGACACGGCTCAGATATCACTCACCAATGATTTTAGTTGCTGCCAGGAAGCAAACTTAGGTAACCGGCTCCATAGCATAGTGCGCTAACCACTGTGGCACTACTCCACTAAATAGTTTAAAATAGCCCTTTGTAATCATACACGCAAAATCAAGTGTGGTGCAGCCCACAATGAAGCTCACAGTATGTATCAGCTTTGAACATTTCCCAGATTCGTGTAACTAATTTGCCTAGCCTAGCTTACGCAATGTGTTGCCATGCTCGATACAAGCACCATCGCTGACGCTTCTGCAATGTTGCAGGCATGAACGGCTGCACACAAAGAAGACGGAGTACATGAAGTCGCGGCTGCGAGCGGAGCTGAACGTTGTGGATGACCTTGTCAAGCTCGACGTTCTTGACGAGGTTCCCGGCTGCTCACTCGCTCACTCGCTTGCTTGCTGGGCTCCGTATCAGATGTTCACCTTTCCGATTCATTCAGCCAGCTGTCCATACCCCCCCCCCCCCCGAAGATCTGTCTTGGCTTTCCACCATGCTCATTCGTCCATTTTTTCTTGTGAGATGCTTAGTGCTGCATTTTTGTTATCCTGTGCATCAATATACACCCTTTTAATCAAAATACTGATATATACTATATATACTATGATATAGCAAACAGGCAATAACTACTATTACTATATATACAATATGGATTTGCTCTCCAACACACCATTGTGCTGTACGAGTAATGAATTTGCATGTTCCGTTTACGTGACAAACCTTACTAATAGGCTGTGTCGGTTGGTGGGTGGGTTTAACGACACATTTATATTTACTCGATCTTGTCAGGTGAGGCATCTTCACATATGTACACTCATCACCGCTTGAAGTACGGTCACATATTGTTCACGTGACTTTACCGAAAGACCCAAAGAGTATGAATTCCTGTAGTCACGAAGGATTTAAGTCAAGATTTAACCCAAAAAAACGTATATTATGGATCTTGGTCGCGAAAGCTTACATGTTAAACTGACAGTATATCTTACTTACAGTAATATCTAATATCTGGAAGTCAGGTAGTGCTGCGGTTTGAGGGTTCAAAGTACATTTAGGAAGTTGTGAGATTAAAATACTGAGCAATAGTTGACTCACCCACGCATCTCTCTGGGGTCCATATAAATACCTCTTTGTGGGAAGGTAACATAGTTATATTTAGCAGAGTTTGGTCCCTGTCACAGAAATGTGGAATTCATACTGCTGGCTCAGGAACATCAATGGAGATAAGCACCTCCCTATGCTTATTTGAGTGGGATGATGCTTTTAACTTGAATCAAAATTCTAATTTAAATGCACCTTTGTATTTTTCGGACTCACAATATCTAAAAATGGCCTCATCAGGCACAATTATAGCTGTGTGAACTGTGCGCCTGGCTAACTCCATAACGTAAATGTATTTAATGATATTTATTGTGAGGTAGTGGTTGGGGGTTACTCTGTGTGTGAGTGGTGCGCTCCTCTTGTCAGGTGAGGCATCTTCACATATGCGCACTGATCAACGCTTGAAGTACGGTCACATATTGTTCACAAATGATAGTACAGGCTGAACCACGAGGCACTCGGTCACCTTCAACTGTGCTTTCACCAAACTTGACGTCGGCAGAGAAGGTGAAGGAGTAAGGGGTTGGTAATAAGCACTGGGTATGAAGAAGACGCTTTTTACATTTTGACCATTGCCAGACTCTACCTGAAGAATCAAACCTTATCGAATTGGAAACAGAATTGAGAAAGATAAATTTGGACATAGTTGGGCTCAGCGGGGATGAGCAGAACTCCATACATTTGAAAAGTGTCAACCTTGTCTTTCTGAGAGGGAGAGTTCACTTCATATTGATGACTGGAATGCTTAGTCTCATCGAGGATCTAACTAAGAGCTCTAGGATTCAAAAGAAAATGAGACAAATTTGCTAAGCTCACATTGCTCGAACAATAAGCCGTGAATAAGTAGTTCAAATGTGGAGCAGAAATTATCCAACTTCGAAGTGAGAGTGAATTGCGGTGAAGGGTTGTCCATGCTGTGTCAATCATGGAGGATTTTTTTGACCTCACTACACTGGTGGTAAAGAGGGAGGCTCAGGACTGATTCACTCTGCACTGATGATAGCCATGGCCTGGCATTAAAATCGAATCGCCGAATTTGTAGTGCTGTGCGCGAACCGCTATGCCGCTGTTTCACCCCCTGAATATAAATTATGAAATAACTAACACCAGTGCCGGATTATCCTAGTAGCGAAAGTAGCTACATATGCTACGGGCCCCGCACTTTCAAGGGCCCCACACTAAATGCTTTCAAGCTTTTACATTATGAGACCTCCTTTGCCAGTAACAAGATATAGGAATAGGTTTTACCCTTTTAACTGGCACAAAAACTGACACCTTTATTCAAGGCATCATGTTTGCAATAACCACAACACAAGCAGTCAAAATGCAAACAAAAAAGACAACTCTGATAATAATATGCACTGTCCTTCAATTTGATTGGTCCACACCCGAGACGGCTTTTCTTAGAGCCTAGTCTCCAGTGGTGTTGGACCAGAAGACGCCAAAAGGCGTACAACTCAAAAATAGCGCACTATCAGAGAGATATCTTGTTACTGGCAAAGGAGGTCTCATAATGTAAATGCTCACCCCGAGCCCTCAATACTCTGATAGTGCACTGTTTTTGAGTTGTACGCCTTTTGGCGTCTTCTGGTCCAACATCAATGGAGACTAGGCTCTAAGAAAAGCCGTCTCGGGTGTGGACCAATCAAATTCAAGGATAGTTCATATTATTATCAGAGTTGGTTTTTTTGTTTGCATTTTGACTGCTTGTGTTGTGGTTATTGCAAACATGATCCTTGAATAAAGGTGTCAGTTTTTGTGTCAGTTAAAAGGGTAAAACCTATTCCTATGCTTTCAAGCTATCGATTCCAGTTCAGTGATTCTGTACTTGCTCTGTTACTATAGTACTATACTGCCCTCAACTTTTTATGAACGACTGGGTGTTTAAGGTGAGCGATTTTTCATATTTGGCTGTATAGCAAATGAAAAAATACAATTACTTTACTATGCAAGTTAAAAATGTGTTGATTGAATATTTATGTGTTTTTTTATATTTAGGGCCCCTTTGTAACATATCCTACAGGCTCCGCACGAACTGAATCCAGCACTGACTAACACAACAGTATACAGTTCTGTTTAAGCATTGCCACAGTTAAACTTCGTTGCAGGCAAATCGGCAAGTGTTCGGGAAATGTGATCTGTACATAATCATTAAGTATTTTGTCTGATACCATGCATCATTATATTTGATTACCTAACAAAGTGTCATGTATGCACTTGTGCTCTCTACATTAATATCATTTTATATAACCACTACATTGAAAGATGTTTATATTGACTGCATTTAATATGAGTTGTATCATTTTGGTTGCACGTCCTTTAAAAATATTATTTTAAAATGAAGGTTTTAATTTTTTGCTTAAATGGTTTGTTTAATCTTTACATAAAGAATATTTAAATCAATAAAAACTGCGAGGGGAAAATCAATAGTCATATTTTTTAAAATGGAATAACACTCAGAAGATGCTATTTGCAGGGCAGGAGTATACTCCACAAAGGTTCATAATCAATGGAAAGTCCTCCAGAAGCCATCTGCCAGCGCCTTGACTGTGATGAAACATCTGTAGAGTAGCCCTGAATGCAGGAGGCATTGTGTATTTATTCAGCAAATTCTCTGACCTCTTGAAACATTTACTGACCTCTGTTTTTTTTTAGCATAACCACTGAGTTTTTCCACGTGTTTAAATTGTGCATCATCTGCCGTTGCATATAAGGACTCTTATTACGGGAACATCATGATTGAAATGTTAAACAAGCTGGATTAACTAGTGAGGTGGAATTAGCCATGGTGTAAAGGTATTGAGTGATAGGGCCCCTACCTGTCCTATCTGTCTCATAAGTTGTATACTCATTCGAGTAAGTAACTTTACGGTTTACTTTTCCAAATAAAAGCCTTAATGTTTCGTGGTGTTCACACTTAGTTATATTCCCTGCAGCCAAATATGTGTTCTTGACCACACAATACTGGCGGTAATTTTAATTAAATTATAATGCTGCCCAATGGAAATCTGAGTCCAGTATGGGCCATCCATAGGTCAACTCAGACTAAACTGACTTCCTGACACAGTATATCAACATCACCACCAGGGAGCAAATGTAGGCATGTTTGATCCTGACCACACCCCTCCTGTACCGTGTGAGCTTAAATGGATCCTCACTTAACAGAGCTTGTCACCCCAATATTTAAAGATAAACAGAGATCTCCCTCTGGCTCCTTACAGACCACAATTACAGAGCAACTGCAGAAGCGCTATGCCGATCAGCAAATCTACACCTACGTGGGGGACATTCTCATCGCCATCAATCCATTTCAGATCTTGGATATCTACTCCCCAAAGGTAAGAGGATTTACCAAAGGTGGATTGATATTTGCTTCTAACTTTACTTGCAGCCATGAAGCAATGTATGTACAGCATGTAGAACTTTTTTCGCACCACAAGGAGCCGACCGTGCTAATTGGAGGAGCGGGGAAGGAAAACAAGCTAAATACAAAAAGATGTTCTAAAGAAATTCGTTTTCAATCTATATTTAAAAATGCATAGTTCCAGTGGCATCCTAATATCAGAAGGAAGAGCATCCAGAAGGCCGCAGAAGCACATTTAAAAGCGCGCGATGCGGTAACCGTCTTTGTTCGATGGCGAGCCAAATGCCTCTGTAAGGATGACCCTCGTTTTCCTTTACGAGCTCAGCGAGGTTTTTTGGTTCAATCGCAGCAAGCACTTTGTGTGTTATGAGTGCGACCTTAGAATGTATTCGTTCGGCAACTGGAAGCAAATGCAGCTCGGTGAGCACTGGACAAACATGGCCACATCTTGCAGTACGCGTCACGACACGTGCCAGAGAATTTTGTACACGCTGAAGCTTGGTAGTGTTTTTGCCAGACGTCCCGTAGAGTAGCATTGGAGCGGATCGCCCCTCGGGCGCCTTCCGAAGATTCTCCGCGAGGGGCTGTATCCCCGTCGAGCGAGTGGCTGAGTGAAAGGTCCCACACGGCCCTGACTGGTGGTGTCCGTGTCCCTGGGCTGCAGCACTCCGTCCTGTACCGAGGTGCGAAGCGTACGGCGAACCCACCTCACATCTTCGCCATCTCCGACAACGCTTACCATTCCATGGTCACCTACAATGCCCACCAGGTAAATGGGTGTGCCGTGTTGTGCGTATGTGGTAACGATCCATTGATGTATCAATTAATATCAATTCTTAAGCTCTCCGATTAATTAATTGAATTATGTGTGCGTCACCGACGATTTTCGTGCATTTTAAGTACTGCAATGAGTTTAAATGGCCCTTGCAGCCACTCGAAGTGCTGCAGACACCACGATGTTAAATATATCTTTTACTGATTTGCGACGATGAAATATGAAAATTTACTAAATCGTCGGCCGAAGTGGGGTCTAGATAAGTAATGTTATAATCATGTTGTACTGCACATAATGTACACAAGCAATACGTGTTCATTAATTATGCTTGTTGCTCTTACAGTTGCAATGCACGTTATATAACATGCAAGCTAATACCCATAAAAATGTACTATAGTTGGGGAAATAATTTTCATTTCAGGTGACAAGTCTTAATCACAACCTTGTGGAGGGATGTTGTCTGTAACTCTGACAATTTTATCTTCACTATCTGATTTTGAAACCACGTTTAGTAACAGGAATTTAATCCTCACCGTTTGAAGATAGATAAAATAAAGTCCAGACTTTGCAATGTCAATTAAATTATAGCGATTGGGCTCTCATTCATACGTTGTTATATTTTAAATACCTTTCACAATGTTTTTTTTGTAATGTATAGGCAAACGCGGTAGTAATGCAATTAGAGGTCCAGTGTTTGATTCTGATTTATTTCCTACCGTGGTGTGAAGTGTATCATCGTGAGTGGAGAGAGCGGATCAGGGAAGACTGAGAGCTCCCATCTCATTGTGCAGCAGATGACAGTTCTTGGCAAGGTACTGCTTGCGAGAGCCACTCAGCACCACTGCATCATTCATCCTGTTACTTTATTATCTGTCAGCTTCTGCTGATCGAAATAAAAGAAATAATAAGGCACATGCATTAAATTACTGTACCTATCGAAATCCACAGTGTATGAGTAAGTCCATAGCTACTTCGTTTAATGCCCCCTGCGAAAGAACGTTATCTTTTAAGGATTTTGAAATGTTCACAAAAGCTTACTGAGTGCTATTGCACTGCAATCAATTTACAATGTCTCCACTCTGGCCAGAGTGGAGACGTAGGCCGAATACACTCTAAAGCTCCCTGTAGTGGAGGCTTTAACTTGCAGTGGCATAAGTAATTACAGGACTTTGCCTTTATCATAACAACCTTTTCCTACATATTGATGGTGGAGGCAAGATGCATTTTCTGTGCTCATGCCATTGGCAATGCATACCCATAAGTTAAATCACGGGCCTTCCCACAACATTGTCCCGCACTCTGAAACCCGCAAACGTGCATGCGGCAGGCCAGCGATCGTGCACTACAGGAAAAGGTGCTGCAGGTGAACCCGCTGGTCGAGGCGTTCGGGAACGCGTGCACCATAATCAACGGCAACTCGAGCCGCTTCGGCAAGTACCTGGAGATGCACTTCACGAGCAGCGGCACGGTGGCAGGCGCGCAGATCTTCGAGTACCTGCTGGAGAAGTCCCGCGTCACCAACCAAGCCCCGTGAGTCGATCGGGTCTGACCGCTGAGCACCGGCCCTGAGCAACCTTACAGTTACACCATCACCATTCACTGAGCTTGCCACGTTGGTCATGTCACCATTGAAAAAGAGCCTGTTCGCTGAGTAGGCCTACCCCGAAATGAAACGACCCAACTGACTGACGGCTTAGTGTACATACTTGTTTATTACACTACGAGACAATAGAAGGAGGAACGCATGGAGCAGGGAGCAAACACAAATCAGACATCGTGTTTGGCCATCCGAAGAAGTAAATGGGCTTCGACGGGACACATCGCGAGATGGGACGATGGTCGATGGACGAGTGGCGACGGAGCGGCAGCCAAAGGAGGAAACGCGTCCACTTGGACGGGCATCGCCGAAATGGAGCGATAGGAAGAGTGCGTGTGCAGGAGTGAGGTGGATGCCTGCAGTGCCGCACCGTGAGGGATGGCGACAGCACGGGGAGGCCTCCATCCAGCAGTTGATAGACCATGGATGATGATATGCAATGAGAATGCAGTGATTTAATTTAATAGGAAACACGTGACGGATTGTGACTGATTCTGTCCAATTTCAGACGGTTACATATTCAGAAACAAACCGTAAAATACACACTTTTAGGTTGATTATATATGCTAACTTATTACTCCTGCTTCCCATTGGAGACCCAGTGATTGACATTACCTTGGCTGTTTTCATTGTCTAAATGAGTTTTGATGTTTCTTTTTCATAATCAACCATTGTCTATACACTAATAGATGAAGGCTTCCCCATAACAACACAATCATTGACGGTCTTGCAATGCCGCAATGCATCTTGCTCCTGCATGTGAGCTGATTTCATTACCCCCGTCTCTGAAATGGTCATCCTCTTGGACATGTTTCCCTCCTAATCTCAATCATCAGCTAGTATCTCTTCTTGCACTGTCCTGCCTAAGCCCACTGACTTAAACTATGGACATGTCTCCGATTTTTGTTCGTTATAACACTGACAGACTGCAAGAATTACTTGTGTTTTTTTGTGTTTATATGTGTAATTATTGTGATATTGTGTTCCACTGGTTATGCATTTTGAATATAGATTTTTTTGTAAAATATTTTTTTCAGGTTTGAAAAAAACTTTCACATTTTCTACTACATGTATGCCGGGCTTGCACAGCAAGACAAACTCCAGCAGTACTGTCTTTCCACCACCGAAGCCCCACGGTACTCCTCATCTTCACCCCGTGCACGCCTCACCATTGCCCGTTACATTTAAATTGGCTCCGTGCTCTGTTGCCACTCTGGTCTAGCCAGCAGCTTTTCTAACGACTCGAGATTTGAAGCAATTGAAAGTGATTTCCTGCTCCAAAAAGCATCGGGCCGATGCTAATCTCCTGTTTAAAGACCTAAGGCAGTCGTGAAAATTCCAAATTCCTATGGTGGGTGCAAAGTTATCCAAGGGACAACCGCTGTTGACTTCTCCACAAAGTAGTAGTAATGTTATTGACCACCAGAGGGATGATGGGCCGAGTCAATCCCCAACCAGGATTTGAACTCGCAATTTGCAGATTGTGAGCGGCTCGCTCTTCCACGGAGCCTCTTTTGAATTGGAATAGCCTTGTTTTTTATTGTCCTGGCATTTGACACGTTTAAGCATATTTTATCTGACGGAGCATGCTTGGTAATTTCAATGTTCTTTACATATATTTGAAAGTTTATTCTAGATTAGAAGTTTTCGTGACTGCAAGGATTCATACTCTATTGGTTTTTTCGGTAAAGTCACGTAAGTAAAAAATTAAATGAAAAAAAAACTTTATTAAAGCACGACGTTTCGGAAACGTCGTGATTTAATTTAAAAAGTTTGTTCATAATAGATCAGTGAAATGATAAAACATGTTCTTTTATTTTTATTTGGCAATGTAATGATTGACAAAATGTGCTGATTTGTTTCCTTCTGATGACTAACATTTTATCACATTGTGTGTGTCCGATTATTAACTGCAGTATGTATACACATGATATACAACAAGTGTTCATAATCTTTCACTATCCAGCAACGGGGTTTTAGGGGCCATCCATAAATGACGTCACGCACCTGGGGGGGGGGGGGTCAGACGTTTGTGACGATGTGTGATGAGGGAGGGGGGGGTTGAGAAATGTGACGTCACATAAAAATGCGCAACTTTAAATAAATATAGACAACACGTTCTACTTAGTTAAATAGACTTTGTAATAAATGTTTTCTCCTACAACATCAAAGTGCAGCGGCACATTAAATACGCACTACAATGACAATAGTTTAAAGCGATTTGAAGCATGTTTTATATCTTTTTTTTGGCGGGGGGGGGGGGGGGCAGAGCTTTGTGACGTCATATTTAAGGGGGTGTCTGACTTTTTGTGACGCCGTGTGACGATGGGGTGGGGGGGGGGGTCAAAAATCGTCCAAAATCGCGTGACGTAATTTATGGACGGCCCCTTAATACAACAACAACATATTGATTGCTGCACAGTATGTGGCTGTCCATGACGAGAAAAATGTTGAAAAAATTCCGTAATTTGCAATCCGCGTATTCCTCTATCGTATTGTCGTGAGAAAATGTCAACAAAGCGAACACAAAAGAACAACAGATCTTTCCGAGACTTTCCCCGCCATCTGCGTGGGGGCGAGCGTCTGGGTTTGTGGCGGTGGCTCGCGAGCGGAAGCAGCCGCTGAGTCCTTGTCTGGTTGGCACGGCAGGTACCTCGTCAGCAGTAGCAGCCCCTCTTTGGAAGAAATCCTCTCCACTGGCTTTCATCGGCAGCAGTTCGAGGCCATTGAACAATGCTTCAACATACTTGGCTTCACAACAGAGGTAACGTCGGTTTCATCGTCAAGTAATCTTTATAAAGCGTATGCAGTATGTTACATTTACATGCAGGGCAGCTGTAACTATTTGCACAACAAATAATATATCTTCTTTGTTCTTTCGGTAAAGTCACGTAGAATGGAAATAAAAATAAAGATAAAACAATAAAATAAAATTCTCACGACGTTTTGGCCACAACACAAGTAGCCTTCTACGTGACTTTACCGAAAGAACCAAGAAGATGAATCCCTGCAGTCACGAAAACTTTAAATCGAAACTCCTAATATAGTACACTTAATTTTGTAAAGCCATTACGATGGAAAATATGAAGTTATAAATCGTTTATAGTCATGCATACCCCTGTTTTATTTAGTTTAAAAAGCGTGGAGAGGTGTGTGTGTTTGGAATTGGCACTGTCAGACAGAAAGAGGAAGACCTGGGTCGGAGAACATTTGTAAATTAGAGACGTATTGACTGCTGAGAAAAATAACTGGGCTTGGACGGGAATACCTTTACGTGACGCTGGAGTGGCAACCAATGGAGGGAGCCATATGCGGGAGTTGCAGTAGATGGATCGTTGCATCACAAGACTGTGCGATGACATTGACATAGCTGAGCCTTCATCCAGCAATGGATCAATCATGGCCGGTGTTGATGATGGATATTGCGCAGTGTTATTAAACGTGCACGTAATTATCAGGCAGAGGTGAATTTTCAGTAAAACTATTTAAATATAATATATGTAATGTACAGTTAACAGAACGTGAAGATATATATATATATTTTTATATATATCAACAGCTGCCCTGGAATGTACTTGTCAATGCTAGAGCTGAGGTTAGTGTGAGCCCTGAGCCGGGGTTGAGTAGGGCTGAGCATCCTAAAGCTGTTCGTGCCAAAAATAATCACGCCAATCAGGATAAGAGGCGTCTACACTGCCTGTTCCAAGGGTTTAATATGTGTGTGTGTGGCTGTGCATATGCTCTTAAGTTTTTGTCGTGTGTGCGCGTGTGTTTCTGTAGCATGGTCTTCATGGCGATGATAATAATTGGCCCATTTCCATTTCAGGAAAACATTTCTCCATTGCATTGCCAATATATCACACAATTTTAAATTGTGCTTCAAGCAGACTTTATTGATTCATGTGATTTTGGGACAATGATGCTTGTGTGCATGTTTCGAGTCCTTGAGAGCATTCACGTGTGTATTTTGCGCTATTCTCCCCTACACCTAACAGGAAGTTTCCTGCGTTTACAATATTTTGGCTGGGATTCTCAACGTGGGAAACATTGAGTTCATGTCCATATCTACAGACCATCAATCTGACAAGAGCAACATAGACCCCAACTCTACAGCCCTGGAGAATGGTGAGTCTCAATATTGTTACAGATCAAAGGTGGAATGATGAATTGATTATCGATTCTTCAACTCATGACATGCATTGAATAATGTGAGATAGAATCATGGCTTCTCACTTTATTTAAGTTGAACATGATGTATTTACTGTGCCACTAGTTTAAATCATAGTCGGACATCAACACAGATCATCATCTCACTGGGGTTTGTCTTGTGGAACGTGAATGGTAGTCATCTTAAATACAATGACTAACCCACCACTTATGATAAATATTCTGCGCAAACTCAGGGCTCCCAACGGAGATGATTACTGTTTAACACGTAGGCTTTCGTGACCAATATTATGGAGATGATTACTGCCCAAATTCTCATTTCAGGAGGGAGACACTTGAATGACATGGTCAGTAAGACCAAATTATTCAACAGGCCTTGTAGTTTCGCACCAGTCAACTTAACAGCCACCCTGGGAAAGCCACCACAGATTTATGAACAATCATTTGACTTGACGAGATGTGTTGGATCAACTTAATTAGCCAAACTTGTTGTTTTAGACAAAGCCAAATAAACTTGATTTGGCGCTTTCGTGACTGCAGGAATTACTCTTTGGTTTTTTCGGTAAAGTCACGTAGAAATAAGAAATAATATAAAATTTACATGAGGACGCACTTTTTCTTCCATTTATTTTTCTTCTTCTTGCACACGTCTTATATTATTATTTCTTATTTCTACGTGACTTTACCGAAAAAAAACAAAGAGTAAAACCAAATAAAACAAAACATCCACCAAGTGTGGACTTAAAACTGTCATAAAATAATGCAATAAAGTTTTTGCATCTCTTTATTTATGTTTAAATGCACTCATATACATGAGGGTTTACCAATCAAGAAAGATGAAAACTGTAGTTTGGTCGAGAAGCATGAAGCAGGCCCGTGCCTGTCCGCATGCTTTACGAGGCTCTGATTTTTTTAAGCAGCCAACTTTACAACCACCCCTGCAGGAGCCGCCGCAGAGTGATAACTCCACGAGCAATAACTCCATTTGGCACTCATGAGTCTGCCGGTCGATTTTCACACGCGTCCGTGTGTGCCTAGCGGCTGCTCCGCTGAAGGTCCGCGCTGAGGAGCTCCTAGAGGCGCTGGTTTCACGCTGCGTGGTGGCGCGCGGCGAGACCATAATGCGCACCAACACCGTGGAGAAGGCGAGCGACGTGCGAGATGCCATGGCCAAGGCGCTGTACGGCCGGCTTTTCAGCTGGATCGTGCACCGCATCAACACGCTCCTGCAGCCCGACAAAGACGCCAGGTGCCGTGCTCTCGCCGCCAAACACAGTAATGGCACGCCGGGAAATTGTGGCACACCCTGCACGGTGATTACGCGTGTAATGGTTTTGCGATTGCTTTCATATTGGCTGGACCGGAGTGCAGTATTTTATTAGAGTGTGGTCCCCTGTGTCGGCTGATAGACACGTTTTGTCACGTAAGTCGATACAGTTGGCGGATAATGACGTGAAGCCAAATGTGTTTGACTGAAATTGTTCCCAATATTTCCTGTTTTTACACTTCCTTAGTCGCTTCCAAATGTGCACTTTTTGTGTATTGTGTTTGACAGATACTAACAAATATCAAATGCAGACACACCTTTAAACGTGTGAACGTATGTGATAATTTTTGATTATTAGATATTTAATGGCGTGCATTACTAAACCACGTGGCTTTTCACATCCGTGTCATTTCAGTGAAAACAGTAAACTGAGCATCGGCATCTTGGACATCTTTGGGTTTGAGAATTTTAAAAAGAACTCGTTTGAACAGCTGTGCATCAACATTGCGAACGAGCAAATTCAGTTCTACTTCAACCAGCACGTGTTTGCCATGGAGCAGGTACTGTAACAGCGGTCGGCAGGTGCATTTGTTTTCACAGTGGCAGAGAATGTGTGCGCAATTAAACGTGGCCTATGCTGCCTAAGACCTGCCAAGGACATCCTAGAGCATTGTCAACTATAAAGAGGATTTTTTTAAATTGTAAAAATAAATAGCATTCATCATTAGACCTCCTTTGCCAGTACCAAAATAATAATAATAATAGGGGTTTCCCCTTTTTTCTGGCACAAAACTGAAACCTTTTTACAAGGATTCATGTCTGCATTAACCACAATACCTGTAGTCAAAATGCAAACAAAAAACATACTATGATAATATATGCATTGTCCTTGAAACTGATTGATCCACACCAAGTGACAGCTTTCTTTTGTGCCTCGACCCAATTGGTGCTTGACCAGATGACGCCAAAAGGATGTCCTTGGCAGGCCTTTCGAGCACCAATTGGGTCGAGGCTCAAAAGAAAGCCGTCCCTTGGTGTGGACCAATCAGTATCAATGCATATATTATCATAGTATGTTTTTTGTTTGCATTTTGACTGCAGGTATTGTGGTTAATGCAGACATGAATCCTTGTAAAAAGGTTTCAGTTTTGTTGCCAGAAAAAAGGGGAAAAACCCTATTATTTTATTAAATAGCATTCAATTTATACATTAATCATTTCACACTTTTTCAATGTTCACTATTCCTTTAGGATGGTGGGCATGTTGCATTGATGGCATGACATCTCTACAGTATAATGGTGTTACATAATTTCACTTTACAAATTTTTTATTTTTAAAATGTGCAGGCCTTTGTCAATACATTTTTTTGATGAATGCCTCTCTCCATGCCATTGGGGTTTCTTAATCATACTTCATCCTGGTTGGTGCTTTTTGTTGTAGGCAGTTCCCATGGTTGATTTAGATATCATTCAGCACTCATGTAAGCTGTGGCTGGGAATGAAACTCAGGTCAATGGGTTCATAGATCAGCATGCTGTCTGCTCCATCACCGCCTCCGATGTTTAATCAAAATATTGTCCTGGAATATTGTGCAGTACATTTATACACACCCATGCTCGCTGTGACTGCTCTTTTCTGAAGGACAGACAAAAGCAATTTACATAATTTTCTATTTAAACATATCTGTGGAAATGATTTCAGTGTCCTGCAAAGGGATTCTGGAGTCTTGCCTGATATTTAAACCAGAGACATCAATGCGCATTAAATGTCATTGGTATTTAAAAGCTGACTGGCACATCATTGCATCTCGTTAAAAGTACACCATAGTCATGACATTAAATATTAATACATATGCAAATGAGTTCGAATGAAAGGGTGAAATTCAACAATTTTGTAAAGGCCCGTTCTCAAGTTGTCCATTGAGGAGGCTTTTCATGAAAAGCACCATCTGCCATATCGAACGGACAGGAGGAATACGCAAGTGAGGGGGTGGACGCAAAGCAGGTGGAGTTTGAGGACAACCGTCCGCTGCTCGACATGTTTCTGGCCAAGCCCGTGGGGATGCTGTCCCTGCTGGACGAGGAGAGCCGTTTTCCCCAGGCCACTGGCCAGACGCTCGTCGGTGAGTGCCACACTCTTTGGTGCATAGTCGGCTCGCGAAATTGAGCAACTTTGATCATTAGTCGGTTCACTTTTGGTTTGTGACCCACCAGGAAGGAACATCAGTAAGTCCCTCTGTGTCTCCAAATCATTAGTATGTTTTTGTTTTGTTTTCTCTAACTCAAATTGAATGTTAATTCAAAGTTTCATTTGAAAACTCTAAATTAAGAAGAAGAAGAAGAAACAAAAACTATGCAAGGCTCATATCAGAATCTATGCACTGATTAAATAAGGCAGTGACACAGTGCTGAGAGATGTTCGATGGTTTGGGTTTGTATATATCTGTCAACAGAGTCCCTTTATTTTTTATTGAAAGGCAATGTTAGTTGATATTACTTTAACCTTGAGACGACATTACTTACACACTTTCTGCATGTTATTCAAGCTTGACTTGGAATCTAAGGCCACTTTGTACAGTGTTTGCATCAAATAATGAATGCTGAAGTGAACTCATAATATTGACACGTACATTACTTAAGTCATTGCTTTTGTTACAATAGCGATGCTGTGAATAAGCACAAGAGTAATTTTGTTTATGTGACATTGATTTTGAATGGCATATGACTGCACTTTTTTACAGAAAAATTTGAGGATAATGTAAAGTCAAAATACTTTTGGAGGCCGAAAAGAATGGACCTAACCTTCGGAATCGACCATTATGCAGGAAAAGTATGACAATAGTTGTATGGCATGTGGATAATACACTGCACCAAGCACATTGTACCCACGGTCAGTGCATTTTAGCACCATTTTCAGCTTTTGGCTCGTCTCTACCACAGGTTCTGTACGATGCCTCAGGATTCCTTGAGAAGAACAGAGACACGTTACCTGCTGACATTGTGGTGCTCCTCAGGACCTCGGAAAACATGGTGCTCAGACTGCTCTTCTCAAACCCCCTAACCAAGACAGGTATTGCTTGATTTAGAGAGTTTACTTGATCTCCTCATCGGGGGGGTCAGTATTTTATGAAGCCCTAGGGGGCTCCAATGGCTGGCAAACCATCAAGGACCTCAATAAAGTCCTCGTGTTACAGCGATACACTTCACTGCTCCTGACGCGGTTATCTGGCTTGACCAGATGAATGTGAAATTGTAAGTTGTTGCTCTTCGTCTACATCAGCCATGCAAACGAAGAATAAGAAGTATTTTATAAACTTAAGACAATTGCACCTCCAGTTTCCTATCAATAAGAATGCCTTCGTCATCAGCATCCATTGTCCATCCAATTCTGGGTAAAGGCTGCCTCACATCACCATCCGTTAATGGTCACGCGGTGTTGCAATCCATCTCACTCCTGCACGTAAACTGATCACGTTTTCTCCTTTGGGCAGCCTTTTTTACCATTGTCCATCAGTCATCAGCATTGCTTAAGTTAAATTTACAAATATGATTCTGTTTTGTTTTATATACTGTACTGTATTCTGTCAGTGGCAGAGCAGGGTATGCATGTGCGTTTATCAATACATCCGAAGCATAATTCAGAGCTACCGATATGATGAGTGAAAATAATATTGCATGGAGCAATAAACATTGTCAAACAGAAATATGTTGACTTTCAGGATTACATTAAAACCTCTCAATGGTGGAGTGAACTTGCTGGCTATGTGGTGGGGGGGGGGGGTATCTGACATATTGCAAATTATTAAATGATCCACGCTTAATAAATAGGAATCAACCATTGACATGTAATTAACACCTCAAACATCCAAATAACATCTAATAACCTGATAACAATAAACGTATTTTGTTTGCGAAATAAAGTAACATTTCTCTCCTGTAATGTTAAAAACGATAGCATGGGGACGATCAAGGTATACAAGAGCAATTAAATCGAAAAATTAAGTGGAACACATGCATCAGAAATAACTTCATGCGATGCATCACATCAACTGTCGACAAAAACAAGTGGGATTGGGCAGGACACGTTGGTATGAATGGATGACAGCCCGTGATCGAGACTAACGATGGCTTGGCAGCCAAAGAAGAGAACGTGCCCAGGAGGACACGGAGATGGAGTGATATAAACAGCTTGTGTGCCATAGGCAAACAGATTGTTGCATTGCAACACTGCGGGAGATGACAGCTTGCTGAGGCCTTCATCCAGTAATGGACAAATCATGGCTGATGACGTTGACAAAGCAGATAAAATGCATTGGTCAGCCGTACACATTCATACAAACTAAAAGACCGGTTATCATTGCGTTTATACCGTTATCTGTATTGTGTCTGCCCACAAAATGCCACCTGATTGATAGATTTCAAGGGCTGGCAGGCCCCCCTGTGGTTGTACCTACACATGAAACTCTTTACCCTGCATCATGTTTTGCCTTGTGGTAGAGATACATTGCGATGCTTACAGTTCTTGTGCTCTCTCTACTGTCCATGTTCAGTAACAGCATAATTTCCAGACAAGTAACTTAAGAACATGCCCCTATTGCTCCTTAATTGAGCGCCTTGCACCTGTTCTGGCCTATCCCAACAGGCAATCTGGCTCATATCCGATCAAGAGTCCCTGGTGCATCAAAGTCTCTTCCGAGTCAAACACCAGCAAACATAAGGGTAAGAGAATTTGACAGGCTTTACATAGGTCTTGGGAAAAGAAGCTCTGTGAGCTGTTCATTTTGTCAAAGTTTACTTGCGGTTAAGTAATATTTTTTTCATGCTGTATACTCGGACCGAGTTGTAAGAAATGGTTTGCACAAAGGATTGCAGCTTAATTTAAACTAAACATGTGTGATTGAAATGCCGTGGAATGTCATTCTTTTAACCCCAAAATAACATTTCTCTCCTCCAGTTCAAAGAGATACAATATTTAGAAAATAACCTCTGCAAAAAATAAATTATGCTTTTCTCATATCGTATGCTGCCTCTTAGAAGGGGAATGCAGTGCACACAGATTATGCAGTAACTACATGGATCAGGCCAATCACAAGTTTATCAGTACTTTCCTTTTTACCAATTCACATTTACAGAATAAGACAAATATAATAATGACAATGACTCTATCTTGTGATCTTTACCTACTGCTTTCTGGTCTGTTTTGAGCAAATGGCAAATTATGTAAGTAATCCGTGTCATTTAGCAAAAGCATATCTGCAGCCCTCAGCCTGTAATCGTTTCCATTTCGTTGCTCCATTTAATATGATCACTGCTTCCTTGAGAGTGCACTTGAGCTTTATAATAGGCGATGACAAATATATTTTATAGTTGTCATTTTTTCCCCACTTAAAAAAAATGAGTTGTTCGCTTTCAGATTTAAACATAGTTCCCTCTCTGTGAAGGGTAGGAAGTCAGTAAACATGCAGTGCGATTGTGCCTTCTTTCTGCATGAACACGAGAGAGAATAACACGTTCCCATTTACAGATCGATACCATGGAGAAGAACAAGCACCCAGGGGAAACGGTGAACATGAAAACTCAAACTGTCTCCTCCTCTTTCAGGGTAATCTAAAAGAAATGTATAATTCTGTTTCTGATTACCATACATGTCCCAATAATTAATTGGCAAAACAAACTTCAAGACTGCAAAAAAATCACGGTTTATTTTCATGCCATTTGTGATTTTGGAATTTAATTCCACCCATCCACTGTTGCCATATGCGTCGCCGCAGTTTTCTTTGATGGACCTGCTCTCCAAGATGGCAACGGGCCTGCCCCACTTCGTGCGCTGCATTAAGCCCAACAACGATCGTCAGGAGCAGAAGTTTGACCGGGAAAAAGTGCTGGTGCAGCTGCGCTACACGGGCATCCTGGAGACCATCCACATCCGACGGCAGGGCTTCTCGCACCGCATCCCCTTCCATGAATTCGTCAACAGGTGATACACTCGTGGGGCCAGCCCCATCGTCGCGTTGGGTGGGCTGAAGCCCCCACCCCCTTCTAAATTCTTAGGCTCAAATTTAGAACAATTAAGCGATGGACAATCTCAGCCTTTCCTCATATACAAATGCTGTGAGAGCTAGAGCAGAATGCATGACAAAGCAGATCTCTTTAGCCTATATCTACAATTCATATTCACAATGCACACAAAACGTAACAAATGTCACGGCGCAGAAATACAATGAGGAAAATGGGAGGGATTGGGAGGGACCGAGCAAAGGCAGGAGAGAAAAATATACAATTCAGGTGATCTGATTGCACAGTTGAAGAATGATATTTTGTGGAGATACTTAAAACCACAAAAAGAGAGAGAGAGCGAGAGGTGACCTAGTTACATTTCCTGGGGAGGGAATTCCAGAGGGTGGGGGCGTAGTAGCTAAAATAGCGGCCACCATTAGTGCAGCAACAGGTCTTGGGAGCAAAGAGGATGGCAGAGCCCATGAAGTGCAACGGTGGCGATACGTTAACTCCCTCGCTTCGTGTGCAGGAGTTTGTGGCTTTGATCCTGACCCTGACGCCTGCTGCATATTTGGAGTTTGCATGTTCTCCCTGCGGTCACGTGTATTTTTCTCCAGGTCCTCCAGTTTTTCCCTCCACATTTAGAAACATGCATTTCGAGTATTTGGCTGCTCTAAATTTCCACCTGATAAGCCACTTCGTTTAGCTATCATTTGTGGCCAGGTCGCTTCTGAAAAATAGCTATATAGTTTAGTGGACCTTACCTGGTAAAATAAAAAAAAGTTTGTTAATAGAAGCAGAGGAAAGGGCTGGAATGTGGAATCTGGGGGTGAAGAAGGTTGCGAAGGTAGGGAGGGCCAATGCCGTGGATGGATTGAACGTGAGGAGCGGACTATGTAGTCCACACGCTCATGGATGGGAGGCCAGTGAAGTAAGGCCAGCACTAGTGTAATGAGTTAGTGGGATTTGGTTCAGTAAAGGTTATGGCATTTTGGACCAGCTGCAGTTTCTTGAGATTTTCCTGCAGAAATGCTGGCAAGGAGGGCATTGAAGAAATATGGCCTGGATGTGACAAAAGCATGGACAGGGGTCTTTGCAGCAGGAAGGGTGAGCTTTGTATGGAGACAGGCAAATGTTGTGCTGGTGGAAGAAGGCGATATTGGTGACTAAGCATATGTGTGAGTGGAAGCTCCATTTGTTTCAAGCTTGTTTAACATTCACTGGGTCGTGTCCCCAATGAGATTTGTATTTTCATATTAAAAGTCATGCTACACGGTTGAATGGGCCTGCTTTATCTGTTGGCGAATATTTTGTTTTGGTGAAAACATGCTAATGTCTCCATGACCAGGTGGGGTAAATCGGCAACACAAACTGTTCCTGCCTGTTTGTGAAGATGTGAATGATGTGGTGGGGTGTAACACTTTACAGTCACTCACTCAGGGGTTGGGAAACTGTGTACATGAAGAAGAGGCATTGCCCAAAAATGTTATCCTGTTTTGTAGTTTTCTGTTTTAAGGCAGTATGAATATTGTATGTATGTTGAACTTATTTCGCACTGTACATAGCCAACTGTGCTAATTGGCAGTGCGAATGATGAATTTGAGATAGATTTATATTTCTTAAATGACGATGGTTTAAGTGCTTGCTTTGTGTGCTCTGTGTTTTGCAAAACGTAAAACTGCAGATCGGAACTGACTTTCTATAACCTAATCTCACTGTTGTGCTAACCTTGATGCATTTACTTCCCCATTGCATACAGTGAGGGAAAAAGTATTTGATCCCCTGCTGATTTTGTACGTTTGCCCACTGACAAAGAAATGATCAGTCTATAATTTTAATGCTAGGTTTTTTTGAACAGTGAGAGACAGAATAACAACAACAAAAATCCAGAAAAAAGCATGTCAAAAATGTTATAAATTGATTTGCATTTTAATGAGGGAAATAAGTATTTGACCCCTCTGCAAACATGACTTAGTACTTGGTGCCAAAACCCTTGTTGGCAATCACAGAGGTCAGACGTTTCTTGTAGTTGGCCACCAGGTTTGCACAGATCTCAGGAGGGATTTTGTCCCACTCCTCTTTGCAGATCTTCTCCAAATCATTAAGGTTTCGAGGCTGACGTTTGGCAACTCGAACCTTCAGCTCCCTCCACAGATTTTCTATGGGATTAAAGTCTGGAGACTGGCTAGGCCACTCCAGGACCTTAATGTGCTTCTTCTTGAGCCACTCCTTTGTTGCCTTGGCCGTGTGTTTTGGGTCATTGTCATGCTGGAATACCCATCCACGACCCATTTTCATTGCCCTGGCTGAGGGAAGGAGGCTCTCACCCAAGATTTGACGGTACATGGCCCCGTCCATCGTCCCTTTGATGCGATGAAGTTGTCCTGTCCCCTTAGCAGAAAAACACCCCCAAAGCATAATGTTTCCATCTCCATGTTTGACGGTGGGGATGATGTTCTTGGGGTCATAGGCAGCATTCCTCCTCCTCCAAACACGGCGAGTTGAGTTGATGCCAAAGAGCTCCATTTTGGTCTCATCTGACCACAACACTTTCACCCAGTTGTCCTCTGAATCATTCAGATGTTCATTGGCAAACTTCAGACGGGCATGTATATGTGCTTTCTTGAGCAGGGGGACCTTGCGGGCACTGCAGGATTTCAGTCCTTCATGGCGTAGTGTGTTACCAATTGTTTTCTTGGTGACTATGGTTCCAGCTACCTTGAGATCATTGACAAGATCCTCCTTGTAGTTCTGGGCTTATTCCTCACCGTTCTCATGATCATTGCAACTCCACGAGGTGAGATCTTGCATGGAACCCCAGGCCGAGGGAGATCGACAGTTATTTTGTGTTTCTTCCATTTGCGAATAATCGCACCAACTGTTGTCACCTTCTCACCAAGCTGCTTGGCAATGGTCTTGTAGCCCATTCCAGCCTTGTGTAGATCTACAATCTTGTCCCTGACATCCTTGGAGAGCTCTTTGGTCTTGGCCAATGTGGAGAGTTTGGAATCTGATTGATTGCTTCTGTGGACAGGTGTCTTTTATACAGGTAACAAGCTGAGATTAGGAACACTCCTTTTAATAGTGTGCTCCTAATCTCAGCTCGTTACCTGTATAAAAGACACCTGGGAGCCAGAAATCTTTCTGATTGAGAGGGGATCAAATACTTATTTCCCTTATTAAAATGCAAATCAACTAATAACATTTTTGACATGCGTTTTTCTGGATTTTGTTGTAGTTATTGTCTCTCACTGTTCAAATAAACCTACCATTAAAATTATAGACTGATCATTTCTTTGTCAGTGGGCAAACGTACAAAATCAGCAGGGGATCAAATACGTTTTTCCCTCACTGTATATAAGCGTACAAGATAAGCACTGCCGGGATTTCACAAACTCAGCTGGGCCGTGATGGCGCACGCCTTTAATTCAGCACCGTCAAGGCAAGGGCTTGCGGACCACACAAATGTTGTGCAACTCCCTTCCCGCGGGCGTCAAGGTCGCCGTACCCTGGCTTGCCACAATTCGGTACAGCAAATGTGGACTCAAACTGTTCCACCTGTAGTGGATAGAGTGTTGCGCCCTCGCATGCGTGGGGTTTATCCTGGTGCTCCGGTATCCTGCCACACGTTAACACTCATTAATTGGCCAACAACACCTTAACGTAGAGAGGACCACAGATGCGTGCTTGCCTTCCCGCTTGTCTGTGGTTTCTCGTGCCTCTTGAGTCGTTGTCGCTTTGACACTGAGCGAATACTGTGTAACAACATTAGTATTACTTCTGTACATGTTACACTGCAGGTACTACATCCTTGCCTTCAAAGCCGACTCGCCCCCACCAGGCAAACAAGAAACGTGTGTTGAGATCCTTGAGAAGGTTAAAATGAAAAACTGGGTGCTTGGCAAGACAAAGGTAAGATTCCCTATTTTACACACGTATATATTTTTTTCATATATTTGTAGCATAATTTTGCAAAACGTAAAACAACACTTGACGATCCTGAATGTATAACAATTCTGGAGGAATAAACACCTGCCTTGCTTTCAAGATAAAAAAAAATTGTCCGTGTGATGCCTATGTGCCTCTAGGTATTCTTAAAGTACTACCATGCAGAACATCTCAATCTGCTGATCAAGGAGATGGTGGAGAGGCTCGTGAAACTGCAGGCCTATGTGCGCACCAGACTTGCCGTCAAGAAATTCAGAAAGCTCATGGAAGAACGGACCCACAGTGCCCTCGTCATACAGTCAGGTGAGGTGGCACTCGGAGGTAAGTAGGTTAATTAAATTGCAAGTGAGATTTCCCTTCAAAATATCAGCTGCAGTTATGGCAGCAAATTATTTTAGATGGTTTGCCACACAATGAGATCAGTTTTTCCTTCTGTCCATAAATAATGTGTCATACCAAGAGGCTCAATATACTAGCACGTGGGCAGCTCTATAACAGTCAGTGGTAATAAATTACTTGCAGGGAGTTTGGTCAGCACACATAAATTTGAAGAATGCAATGTGATGCAGGAATATTACAAAATACAAAAATGCCAATGTTTTGTGTAATAATAATGGCAACAACGATAACGCAGTGACATAATATTTAGCACGATAGTATTAAAATGTGGCTTCGTGGGGCCACTGTAACCTTTACAAAAGATATACCAAAAAAATCCTATCTGTTATGTGACTTACATCGTGCCCAGATATTTTAAATGATCGAGCGGATAAACAGTACCGGAGACAAGTAAGTAGAATTAAGGGGTCTCTACAGCATGACGAGAACCTAGATCCAAAAATGCAACAGCATCACAAATATGAAGCTCAATGCAAGGATTATCTTGAGCACATCTGATGCACGGATATACAGCGATGCAGAGTTGATGGTTTCTTCTGTGGTTTTAGGTTTCCGTGGATACCAAGTACGCAGAGAGTACCGTGAGCAGAAGAAGAAACGAGAGGATGCTGCCATCTGCATTCAGTCAGGTGTTTTATAAGTGACCAGCCACACAAGGGGGAAATTGAGATTTGTGGAACTAAATGCAATAAATTGAATACAAGGACTTGACAGCCGTATGTCAGTCTCAGTCTGCGTGAATAGAGATCCGAATCAAATTGAGATATCAATGTGCGTACGTGTACACGTGGAACACGTGACGCAGAGTAAATTTCTTGACGCGTCACGTGGGACGTGTGTAGCAATCATCGGGCGTGTGCGGCGGTGAACGAGTTAATTTCTATTTGCATTGGGCGTAAATTAGCAAAAGCGTGGTGGGTCACACGGACTGGAGTTTGGGTGGCGCTTCGAGTGAGGCTTGTGCCAGGATGACAAAAGTCTACCCAGTGGCAGAGCCAGTGGGGTGGGGTGGCACGTGCCCCCCGCAATGATCCGATCAAAATCCCTAATTTCGATCGGATCATTGGGGTTAATTAGTAATAAATCGGAATTTTGCGACTCCCACTGCCACTGTGAAGCATATTATTACGTGCCAGGAACTCTATGAGATGATAGGACAATAGTCTGAGTCCATAATTTGCACTAAGTGGTTATAAGTGACTCGCATAATTGTGCGCAGTTGCGTATTCAGTCCACGACTTCCCTGAAGGCATCAACACCTTTAGCGAGCGCGATCCCGATCACACAACGCCGTTCGAATTCGACCCTCGATCGATGGCTGCGCCATCGCCGTACACGCGTAGAATAAAAAGCAAGGGACAACTCCTTACTTACTAACAACTCCTTACTTACTAACAACTCCTTACTTACTAACAACTCCTTACTTACTAACAACTCCTTACTTACTAACAACTCCTTACTTACTAACAACTCCTTACTTACTAACAACTCCTTACTTACTAACAACTCCTTACTTACTAACAACTCCTTACTTACTAACAACTCCTTACTTACTAACAACTCCTTACTTACTAACAACTCCTTACTTACTAACTACTCCTTACTTACTAACTACTCCTTACTTACTAACAACTCCTTACTTACTAACAACTCCTTACTTACTAACAACTCTTTACTTACTAACAACTCATTACTTACTAACAACTCCTTACTTACTAACTACTCCTTACTTACTAACAACTCCTTACTTACTAACTACTCCTTACTTACTAACTACTCCTTGCTTACTAACAACTCTTTACTTACTAACAACTCTTTACTTACTAACAACTCATTACTTACTAACAACTCCTTACTTACTAACTACTCCTTACTTACTAACAACTCCTTACTTACTAACAACTCATTACTTACTAACAACTCCTTACTTACTAACAACTCCTCTATCATTTTTCATTGCTGGAGGGGTTGCCCCCCCTACCTGAAAATCCTGGCTCCGCCACTGAGCCTACCTCTCGTCTTAGGGGCCGTCTATAAATGACGTCATGCACCTGGGGGGGGGGGGGGGGTCAGACATTTGTGATGATGTGTGACGAGGCGGGGGGTTGAGAAATGTGACATCACATCAAAATGCGCAACTTGCAATAAATATAGACAACAACACGTTCTACTTAATTAGACTTTTTAATAAATGTTTTATCCTACAACATCACAGTGCAGCGCCACATTAAATACGCACTACAATGACAATAGTTTAAAGCGATTCGAAGCATGTTTTATTTTCAAAATGAAAATATGTTTTTTTTGTGGGGGGGGGGGCAGAGCTTTGTGACGTCATATTTGAGGGGGGGTCTGACTTTTTGTGACGCCGTGTGACGAGGGGGGGGTCTTAAATCGTCCAAAATCTTCGTGACGTCATTTATGGATGGCCCCTTAGATGACAGTACATATGTATTTGGGGCTCACGGGTTGTGTTCTGAAACTGGTTGGGTTAGTACAGGAAGTGAGCTCACTCGTGTCAGCATGCTTCATCTCATCACGCAGTGATGATCATGCCCCAGGAGCAGCCTGTTCATGATTAGCCGCTCATCCATCTCCGACTCCATTTGGAATCATTTACGTTGAAGCACCCCATTTTGGTTATAAATTAACTTTCCACATTCTCTCAGCCGAGCAGCACAACACACTCGGTGATCTCCAGCAGAGCCGTGACAGCCATGTGAGGTCCGTGGTATCACTGTGAATGCATCGATGATGTATACTGCGATTGTGTGTATGTTGAGCTTCTTTTGCACCGTACGTAGCCAACCGTGCTAATCGGAGGTGCGGGGGAAGGACAACAAACTAAACACATTTGCCTACTTCTTTGGACTAAAACTTTTTTATAGTCATCTTTTGTCATCCACATGTGAGATTCAAAGGAGCACAAGTCCTATACTGTATTCTACAGTGTTTTCTTTTTTTAAGGGCACAATTCAATGTTTTGTTTACATTTTAATTGGTAAAAGATGCATCAATCTCCAGATGTCATATTGCATTTGATGTCATGCATTTCCCAACGTACCCAAACGTGTAGCGTTGACTGTCGGATTTGTAATCTGCGTAGCTTTCCGATGCGTTGCATGGTTGTACCGCGTGTTCTTCAGCACGATGTCCAACGTTTCGCCTCCATCTGCTGAGAGTTACTTCATGAACTGAATTGAATAGCTCATTTTCTCCCTCGAACCCGAAAACACACCCCGAGAGCCAGACGGGCACAACTGCGAAAACCAGCAGTGTATATAATACTGTAGTTTGCCGAATTATTCTGCAGTTTAAATAATCGGAAATGTGCTTGTGTTTACAGCGGCACGGGGGCACAAAGCCAGGAAGCAGTACAAGCAGGAGAAGGAAAGACGTGAAGAGGACGCACAGGGAGACGCGACAGATTCCCACGAGCAGCCTCCAGAAGACAACCAAACCGAGTAAACGCTCCAGTTAATACACGCTGCTAACTCGCATTCGCACGGAAAAGTTACCATCAGCTCTGCAGCACAGTTTTTTTTGTCTCTCTCTCTCTCTTTATCAGCATTCAAATGAGTAATATTCGTAAATTATTTTGTGTGAATAAATTCTTGTATTGGCATCCTCCAGAGAGAATGCCGAAAGCATTGATGTCGTGGACGGGCAATCGACCATTTCGGAGGGTGCCAGCACTGTTGCAAGTGCTGCCCCAAGCCAGGATGATGATAGTGACCGCACTGAACACGTGGAGTCTGAAGAAAAGCAGCCTGAGATTAACCAGGATGGGCTTAATGGGTTTTCCCAGGAGGTGGGTAAATGACTTCGCCTTAATTTTTCACATACATTCACCAAACATGCTTTCTTGTAACATTTTGACTTAAAACTTTCGTGACTGCAGGAATTCATATTCTATGGTTCTTCCGGTAAAGTCACGTAGATTAAAAAAAAAGTGATTAAAAATATCACGACGTTTTGATCGCAACACCGCTTGTGTGCGATCGAAACGTTGTGATATATTTTTCATCACTTTATTTAATATTATTGTTCCTATCTCCGTGACTTTACCGAAAGAACCATAGAATATGCTTGCTTGTCCGAAGGTAATATAAACTGTGGTACCTGCAAAGAAAGTGACTCTGGTGTTTGTTTTGTTGTCCTTTTGTCGAATGTGATGTTTCTTTTCAATAAGGTTTCCAAGTGTGCCGAGACGGTGCTTAAACAACTGCTGCGCGTTAACGTCCCTGTGCCAGCAAGCCACGTCAAGGAGACGGTGACCCTCTCTCACTCAAGGCCTGGCTCTGTGAAACAGCTTGGTATTCAAATACAAGATTCCCAAGATTATCCGCAGCAAGGTCATCATTTATCATTATTGATTTAGTAACAGAACTCTCACAGACTTGAACAACCTCTCAGTTGTAGTTTTCAATGTTGCAATGAAGTAAATGTCAATTTACGAGGATTTTGTTGTTAAAACATAAAAAGTAACATTCCTGATTTTATAGTAGAGTTTTTTGGGGTTAGATCGCATAAATATATAAATGTGTCGTTAAAATCCGTCACCACCCAACACAGCTAACAAGTAAGGCTTGTCACGTAAACAGAACGTGCCAATTCGTCACTAGTACAGCACACCGGTGTGTTGGAGAGCCAAGCCACAACATTTACAATCTGAGTACGACGTTTCGCCAGTAATCACAACTAGCTTAATCAGGCGTCAGCCAGATTTGTGGAGAAGTCTAACCGTTTCGTTCCTTATATAGAGGCGCAGATGTGGTGACCACGCTTCTGTTTTTAAAACTGTTGTGGCTAATTTATGTGCTGTATTTAAAATGGATATTAATAATTTACGTGCTGTGTTTTAAAATGTATATTAAGCAGTTATACCGCTGCTCAGTTCGGTGACTTCAGGATATGGCTGGTACGCTGCATGTGGGTAAATATAAAATAGTCCTGTCATTTCTGAAGGAAATGTTTTGTGTGTGTGTGTGTGGTAGGGACACAGCCAAAACAGGCTCGCACACCTCGCTCTAAAATGCAACCAAAACTGCTGCACTCTCCCGAAGACAATCTGTACTACAGCCAGCTGCTGAGCAGCGCTGGCAAAGACGTCGCCCAGGTAAGCCCCACCACGGGCTGCAGGGTCCACAACGGTGCTCTCATCTCCTTTGGTTCTTTCGGTGAAGTCACGTAGAATGAGAATGAAATAATAAATTAATAAAATAACACGATAAAATTCTCACGACGTTTCGGCCACAACACAAGTGGCCTTCTTCAGGTGAAAGGAACAGACCTGTCGGGACGACAGAGCTTCAATGAACGTATTGTGTTCTTTTATTGTGTTTAGTTTTAATAATTTATTATTTTATTCTCATTCTACGTGACTTTACCGAAAGAACCAAAGAAGATGAATCCTTGCAGTCACGAAAGCTTTAAATCGAAGGTGCTCATCTCGTCAGGGTGTGCTGCTGTTTTCGGGGAACAACTAATTCCTGACACTACGTGGCACCACGACATCACTGGAAAGCTCCGTACAGTGTGAAGTGTTCAACTTACAATTTTAACAGGACTACAAAGCCACGTGTTTAATTTACACAAAAGGCGTTTCTTTTGTTGAAGAAAAACGATCAACTTATATTGGAATATGTTGATGTAAATAGATACCTGCTCAGTTAAAACTATTTAAAAAGTCGCACATTGTTAAGTTGTATATTTCCAAAGGTGCATTAATGAACGATGGCATTTAAATTCCTATTTTTTGTTTTCTAGGCCTCTCCCAGTGTTCAGCTAATGAAGAGAAAATCACGTAAAACAAGGTGACCCACTTTTGCGATTTCTATTTTAAACACAACAATAATTGTGCTATAAAGTACCCATTGTATACTGTTCCCTCGAATGTTGGTGCCTGTTTTTTGGAAAAATATATATCGAAAATTATAACACAAGTAGAATGAAAGTTGGACGGTTTAAAGAATACTTAGATTATTTTATGTTTTGTTTTTCTTTTACACAACTGGAGCCAAATAAAAGTGCTGGATGAGAATGACCAGTATTACCGTATGGTGGTGGCTGGAGACACATTCAGAAAGGCGCCAAGTCCATCACAGGACACACCAAATGGCAACTACTGACAGGTACTGAGCTTTTTAATTCTTAGTCGAAATGTGTTCGGCATGCAGTAATATGTTACGATGTGTTTTCTCATCATTTACAGATTGGAATTAATGCCGTAAACTGTTTATAACTAAATGTTTAAAAATATTTGTAAATTTTGCATACGCTTGTGTAAGCGGATACATTTTTGCGTGACTTGCTTTGAACATCACATGTTAAAATGTGGCTTGATATACGACTAAATGATGATGCAACACGGATATTAAACTCACCACTCCGTTGTCTTTTTCCATAATTATTAATTTTCGCATTCTAATGCATCCACTATTGATTTGTGTTTAGGGAAAACATGACCTGCCAGAAGTGTGAAGATTTGTATTTGAGAATACAGCAATCTCCAGACGTCTTCACTAATATTATCCGCCATTTGTTATTTTACTATAATACAGTACTTGAATGTTATTTTTAAAAATGTAAATGCACTTAGATGTTTAGAAATATTAGACAATTGTAAAATGTTTTTTTTTTTTACAAATGAGAAAATAACTTCAGAATATATAATGTAATTGTAAGTAGCTATTTTTAAATACAGGTACTGTATACATTGAATAAATCTGTCATTGTCCTTATGACAAAATATTTAATTGTGCATTTCTTTGCGTTTATGGGATGGTGATTTATTCATGATAGTAGATGTTGATTTCATGGTGTGGTGGCTATGATGAAGGGGATGATAATGGTTATGGTTACGATGATGTGAAGTCATTATGGTGACAATTGTGGTTCATCATACTTTTATTTCATCACCAGATAGAAACAACCATTTTAAGACAACATGAACCGTGTCTTATTTATAACACAATCTATGGAAAACAAGTTAAAATTTGCATTTTGAAGTGGGCATACAAAACAAAGTCCAATTTGAGTATTGATATATATACACACGTGTCATAAATATAAAATGTTTGTAAAATTGTAAGAAGTTCCACAGTCTTGTTGAAGATGTATAATTTGTAATAAAATTTATTGAGGTGATAGCTTCAATACATGCAGGAGAGGCGACGCTAATAAAGTGGTTTGCGATGTGAACGAACATGACTGCCCAAAACTAATATTAACTCTTGGAACAGCACACCGCAACCCCGTAACATACCTTAGGTCGCAAGGATGTATGTCTGGAAGAAGTCAGCCAGAGAGGACAGAAGGCAATCTATTATTGATCGCGTGGAAAATGAATTTTGCCCAAGTACTATAATTCCCACTTCATCGAAAGTGAATACACATTTTCATAATTAAAGTTACAATGATGAGTAGAATACAATAACTAGTATTTAATATGATTTGAAGAGCTGAGTGATGAGATTTAATTTATCTTCAGTCCAATTTGATGCTGCTTTGTATAATACACGACCATAATCAGTTAGGTTGAAACATAGATGCAAAAATTACTTGGTGTTTAAATTACGCGATGGTGATGCTAATCGTCTAAATGTGCTGTGCTTGTGAAGGTGTGGTGGTTGTGATGAAAATGATTGGGGTTGTTGATTATTGTGATGTTAATGTTGAAATATGGTGTAAATGTTGACTCATGATGTGGTGGTGATGATTTTTGTTGTTCATGTTTAGCTGTTCCATCCTTAATCTGGAATGCTTTTGATAACTTCTATATGTAAGTCCTCAATTTGTAAGAGCCTGAATGACTGCATTAGATACTGTAATACTAATTCGAACACTTCATGGTTACAAATGGCAAGCGTAACGTAACTTTTGGATATTCGTGTATTTTATAGATTATTACTGATTGGATGACTCTGATGGCAAATTTTAGAAAATAAAATGTTTTAATCAAAAGCAACATACCAATGTGCTTCACGAAAATGTGTATGAATGCATACACTAAGAGAAAAACCATGGATCTGAAAGCAAATGCAACTTAGAGATATCCTATTGATTGCTAGGAAAAATAGACTTGGGATGATGGACGATGAACTATTGACAATAGCAGACAAAAGAGGGGACATCGAAGGGATGATGGACAAAATTGGTGACGGAATGGCAGCCATAAAAAGGGAACGTGGCCAAGAAAACCATCAGAGATAAACTAATTAAATTAGATGGCTTATGGCATCGCAAATCAGGGAAGGTTATGGGGGAGGCCTTCATCCAGCAGTTGATTTGATGGTGTTTATGTGATAGTTGTATTACTGGTGATGCTGGTGGTAATAACATCGTGGTTATATTACTATCATGTCCGTGGAGATTGTAAAAAGGCATTGTAGTCCTGTTTATGGTAGTAATCCTCAAAGACGTGGAGTGTAGGGGAACCTTCTGGCAGATCCCCTGTAATTTGCGGCACACGACAAAACATACTCCTAAAACACGTGACTGTAATTTGCAGACTTTTGTCTACTCTTGGTGGAAGAAAAAAAACTCCCAGATTTGGGGATCTTCTCCAAAGCGGATTTTGGGAGTTACCACGAACTGTGGTGGCACCCCACAATGTTTTGGCCTTCGCGGATTGTAGCGTGGATAATTTGAGTTTTACTCCACGGTACAGTACTCTATTGTGATGGCCATGGTGATATCGTGCAGGTGTTGATGCAATGTTGGTCTTTTTATGGCGAACTGTTCATGATAACAGGGGAGATCATCTTAGGAGGTGGTGACACCCTAATTACAGTGGTAAATGTGAGGAATCCCTGATAATGTTGGCAGTCATGGGGCAGTGGCAGCGTATTCCCCACTTGTAGCAAGGTTCACGGTTCGAATTCGACAGTCGCCTTGGTTAATTCTGCGGGTGTATTAACCAACAAAAAACACGCCGTCAGCTTCAGTGGATGTTTAAGATCCCGCGACGTAATTCACAATAGTTAAGCCACGGACCAATTTGTCAACAAAAAGTAAAGTTATCCGCTAATTAGTCAATTGCGTTAAAAGCAAAATTGATGTGCTTTTGTGGCCGTCTGGAACGCTCTTCCGATATTAGGAAGCCACTGGAGCTACGCACTTGGAAATGTAAAACTCATTTATTTATAACATATTTTTGTGCTTAGTTTGTTGTCCTTCCCATGCACCTCCGATTAGCACGGTTGGCTAGGTATGGTGTGAAAGTGGTTCAGCATGCACACATACAACTGGTATCTACAGAGCAAGCATTGCTCCCTACTACAAAAAAAAACTTGTCAGGACCTTCCTTAAACAGGATCATGAGACTCACTGAGGCTTTCCTGGGTAACAAGCGTAGTAATAATAACATAGTGGGGGATGTGGCGGTCATCATCATCATGAACCATAGGCAGATATCCCATAAGTGTCCACTACACATTTCGTCATTTGTTTCCATTTTCCTCTGTCTCATGCCAATAGTCTCAAGGAGTGCCACATCTTTCTGACTCCAATCTCTTATGTCGTCGTCGTCAAGCCATTCTCTGTTAAGTTTTCCTCTCTTTTCCGTTTCCTTCCATCCTACATGAGTGTCCAGGTCCGGTTCAATACAGAAAACAAAATCCGTGATCTGATCCCATCCGTAAAGGATGTCATTCCTGACTCACAGTACCCCGGTGTTTACAAATTGAGTTGTACCTGTGGTGACTGCTATATCGGGGAGACGAAACGACATATCTCTGACCGAATTCGCGAACACAAATCAGATTTAAAACACGGCAAAACGATTTCTTCGGCCGTGGCTGATCATTGTTTCAACACAGCGGGTTCTCATGATATTATCTTTTCCGAGACCAAGGTGCTCTGCAAGCCGTCTGGATACCACCAAAGGTTTGTCCATGAGGCCATCCAGATATACAAACATAGGTATAACTTCAACCGAGAAGATGGATTCTAATTGAGCAATCATTGGAAGGATGTTATTAACCAAGTTAAACCCTAGCTGCCTTAACAGTTTATATTCATAGTAATAGGTTTTACCCTTTTAACTGGCACAAAAACTGACACCTTTATTCAAGGCATCATGTTTGCAATAACCACAACACAAGCAGTCAAAATGCAAACAAAAGAGACAACTCTGATAATAATATGCACTGTCCTTGAATTTGATTGGTCCACACCCGAGACAGCTTTTCTTAGAGCTTAGTCTCCACTGGTGTTGGACCAGAAGACGCCAAAAGGCGTACAACTCAAAAACAGCGCACTATCAGAGTATTGAGGGCTCGGGGTGAACATTCACATTATTATTACTATCAGAGTATTGAGGGCTCGGGGTGAGCATTTACATTATGCTCACCCCGAGCCCTCAATACCATCAATGCTGTCAAACGCCAGTGGCTCTAACACTGACGTCTTTTCGGCGAAAGTACCCCCCACCCCCCCACTGAAAATGAGTAAAGAACACTATTCTGTATCAATACAACACTGGACAGCTGTTTTAAAAAAAGGGCTTTGGTAGCTCATCGGAAATTAATGAACACTATTCTGTATCAATACAACACTGGACATCTGTTTTAAACAAAAAAGTTTTACAGCTCATCGGATTCCTTCGGCCATTAAAAATGTAAATATTCTAATTCTGATATCGAGCGTGCTTCGGTTCAAGACCGACGAAACGGAGACAAAGCAAAAAAATCATCCAAAGCACACGTGGCCACTCGGCGTGACGACGATGACGTCGCCGCCGCTGCGGCGTCACGTGACAGGGGCGCGGTCGCCATGGGGACGGCCGCGCGCCCTTCCTGAGTTACGCGCGAACCCCCCCACCGCGGCGGCTGGTGGCGGTGACGGGGTGAGGGGGTGAGGGAGTCACTCTTTAAGACTTTTGATCGAATCAACTCAAAACAAAGAGCCGCGGGCTCGATCGTCGCCGATCGTCGCCACACTTTTGTTTATTATCGACCGCGGAGTCGCGTCGGGCCGAAGCGAAGAACCATGGAAGGGTTTCGTTTGAGCGCGGACGCGTCGCTCGCCGTGGACGAGTATCTCGAGTACAAGAGGTGCAAGCTTAAATTTTGGTTTTATAGCTTTCGTGACTGCAGTAATTCATATTCTTAGCTCTTTCGGTAAAGTCACGTTGAAGGGAAACAATAAAGTAATAAAATATATATAAAACAATACAAATGCTGACGACGTTTCGACCGTAACACAAACACACACACACCTGATGATGACCGTTTGTGTTATGGTCGAAACGTCGTGAGAATTTTTTTATTGTTTTATATATATTTTATTGTTTCCCTTCAACGTGACTTTACCGAAAGAGCTAAGAATATAGGTGCAAGCTTGTCACCCGTATCCCGCCGTGTGGTTGAGCGCGTGGTTTTTTTATATATATCAGCTTATTTTTCTATTAACGTTACAGGTTTGCGCATTTTATAAAAGCCGTTCTCTCCCCCCCCCCCCCAATTGTAAGTCTTGTTAATAGATTTTTTTTTGGGGGGGGGCGGGCGGTTATATCGCGTAAATATTTAAATGTGTCGTTAAACCCGCCACCACCCGACACAACCAATTAGTAAGGTTTGTCACGTAGTCTTGACATCGCACGCCATCGGTTGAACTTGAGCCGAGCGACAGAGGGACAAAAAAACCATCCACTTTACTTCCACACACGTTTTAACAACGCTTACACTTTGTTGTCTTGAATCTAGCCGTTAAGCCCTAACGATTCCCCTTCGGTAGGCCATTATCCGCACCTAACGAATAGAATCGTTTGAAATGTGTTTTTGCTATGGCATGGGTCGGCAAACCAATACCAATAGCCCGCCACCAAGTGACGGTGACGTCCCCACGTTGCCTGTGCCAGGCTGGGTGCACTTTGTGGCCGCGCGTAAAGTTGTCGAAGGCTCGCTGAGAGGGAGGTCTCGGGACAGACCCAGCAGGTGCCATGGGTTGGCTGGCTGAGATGACCGTGGCATGCACCACCGGCTGTGCCCCCTACTGTGCCAACGTTGGCTGTGTTTTATCCGCCCGGCGCTCCGCTCGTTGTTGTGAGCGTCGTTCATCTGCCCTCCGTTGTTGCTGGAGGGCGACGGCCTCCAGCTGCCCAGTAGCAGCATCGTCCTTTACGAGCCTTCTCCAAACATGGACATGTTCACAAACAACCCCCTCACAGTTGCCTTATGAAGCCGGAATTAGGAGACAGCTTCACCAGTTTGGCGTTAAGCTGGTCCGCGAAACTGATGGTTCTGTTTGAGTGTACACTACTCACAGAGAAAAAAAATGACCAATTTTATGAATGTTTTACATGGTTTCGCCAAGTCAGAGCATGTGCAGAGTATTTCAGCTGGTAAAATTGATCGTGGAGTCATGAGAATTGAATTTCAAACTTCAATGTCTCTCGTGTTCCCAAACGAAATGGAACAAACGACCCAACTGCTATTTTTCCACTTTCACTTGTTGGCTTCCATTGACATTAAGTTCAAAAGGTCAAATATAATTCATATTGTAGGACAATTTTTCGAATAATGTAAAAACGCAAGAGGGTTTTGCTAAAATTGGCCTCAAAACAAGCCCACGACCTCTATAGACCCATCTGCTTTAAAATGAAGGAAATTATTGGCTTTATTCACCGTGCGGGAAACACTAACTTTCACGTTTATATTGATCGAATTTTAATTCAACATCGCTGGAGATGCCCAAATCAGCAGGTCACGGTAAATCGGTGTCGTCTGGTCTATCTGACTTTTGAGTCAAGCTAAAGTCACGAGTGATTGCTGACAGGATCGTTGGAGAGGATGACGGCGGGAAACTGATGAGTCCACAAGAGTACGCCGACTACAAGAGACGGGTGTTGCCCCAACGGGAGCGCAATCGTCTCTTCGTAAGCTGGAGCGGTCCGACCGGCATAGATTGCAAGCTTGTGGGGCCAGAGACTCGATGCTTCTGCACTCACAGGTGTGTCTTCTGTTTGCTGTGTCATCTCAATTTTCTTGCAGCAGGGATGTCTCCAACTCCATTGCGCACACCTTAACATAATTCCCCATTCCACGTTTACTAACCTCCGTCCAAAATGTTAATTTGCTATACAGAGCTTACTGGCAGTGATTAATCATAATGGAAACCGGATCCATGGAGGGAGGTGTAGAATGGAACTGGGGGAAATCTTGCCCTTACGTTAAAGTTATCTACTTAAAATCAGATCGTTGGTGCTATTAAAGTTATAAAATCTGCTTCACCTTTTGTTTAGAACATAATTGCCTTTGAAATGATGACAGGGGTTGATGCGATGTCCTTTATACGTTTAAAGGTGCAGCCCTGCAATTGCTTACACCACTGCTAACGGAAAGGCCTCCACGAGAGGAAGCTCCACTCTTCAATGCTCACCAGATTTCCTGGATAAGATGGGAGTACCCACTTTACCCCACCACAAGCGACCTAGCGATCACCTAAATGTGGTGAACCCATTTGTACTGCTGGGTACAGGGGCAAGAGGATTTAATAAACTTGCCCATTGTTTTAACTGCCGTTCCAGGAAATCGATAGCAAATCTGATGTGCTAACCATTACATTCAACAGCATCCCTGTCCTTTGTAATATATGCAGCTATAACCAATAAGGTGTACCTGAACCACTACTGAAATTGTTTCCTTATGCATTACCTTTTATGTTGCCTGCAATTGCAATACATTACTTATTTTACAAACTAGTTTTATTCATTAGGTAATGTTCCTGACAGGGTATACTTATCACATTTTCATTTTTTTTTTACGTTTAAGCACTTTTTAAAATTATACAGTAGGATATACATTGATGTCATATATAAAATTTACTCGATTTCAAAATGCTGTCATCTGTGAATACTCGTACTTGCCAACGCTACCAATTTAAGCAGTAAGCTGCCAATTTTTAAAACCTTATACCACATACAGATTATCAAAGTAAACAGCATTTTTTTTTAATTATCTCAAATTGTATAAAGCGGTATGATTAACTTCGAATATCGACGTGGTAAAAGGGTAAACAATTGATATCCTACCACTTTCATCGTTTGGGCTGGCAATTCAATAATAAAGGATTTTTGTAAACAATAAAACTTTTTAACATTTCTGTAAAATCGCCTGATGCTGGTTGTAATCACCAGCAAAACATCATACTCAAATTGTAAATGCTGTGGGTTTACTCTGCAACACACTGGTAAGCTTAAGTAGTCACTAATGGGCACATTTTGTTTACGTGACAAACCTTACTAATTGGCTGTCAGGTGGTGGTGTGTTGACAACACATTTATATTTACGCGATCTAACCCAATAAACCTTTATGGATATTGGCCACGAAAGCCGATGTGTTAAACCAAATTAATCATACTGTTGGTAAATAGAAAACGTTAGTTGTTTACATTTCCTCAGATACAAGCAGCACCAGACTGACCTGGAGGAGATCCCCAAAGAACGACCAATACATTTACCTTGTCTAGTTCATGGATGTCGCTGTGCTTCCTACCTCTATATTCCAAGCAATGGATCCCAGGCTATCCGCTGTCACTGCAAGCATCCAGCCAATGAGCACCGTGAATATGAGCCATATGTTTGTAAAAAATGTGAGTTGGGACTATACTTTAAAAAAAGACATCCTTTAAAAAATGTTTAGTCCAAATAAGTAGACATGTGTGTTTAATGTGTTGTCCTTCCCCCGCACGTCCGATTAGCATGGTTGGCTATGTGGGGTGCGAAAGAAGTTCAACATATACATACATGGCAATTCTTAGAAGTGTTTATTGTTAATTACATATATACAAAATATATACACTAGTCTGCTTATATTTAAACCTTTTAAACACCTAAAGCCTTAAATTTAACGGTTATGGTTGATGTTTTGTGTAATTTGCTGCACAATTTGTGTATTCCTTGGGTACCATTGTTGAAATGTTAGTACAGTATTTCAGAATCTACAATTAATCTTGCATTCTACCACTATAAAAATGCATACTCTTATTTGCAGGTGCAGTCTGCAAGGGCTTCCAAAGCTCATTCTCATGCGGTTGTGGGTACCCGACACTAGCTCACCAGATGGTAGTGGAAACAAAGGAGGAGCGTGTGGATCGTGGGAAGCCAGTTGGACATGATGTACCGTATGCAGCCATGGGGGGCCTCACCGGGTTCAGCTCATTAGCTGAGGGTTACCTTCGACTCGATGAAAGCGGTGTAGGTGAGCATTCATAAGTAGAACAAACGCTTGTTTTATGCAGTTCTTAGAATTTTATGTGACAAAATACAGCACTGAACAACACATGTAAACACAGTGCACAATGTATTTTTTTTATGAGTTTCCATGTTTACGAAATACAGATAATATTTTTTGTGCACCATTTTCTGTAGGTGTTCCAGGAGATGGCTTGCTAAATGCCCCCATCACTGCTCATGACCATCCATTTTTGAGGGCACATTCAGGGACAGCAGCCTCACTACTGCCCCATAATTCTTCAAGATCCACAGCTGATGCAGGTAAAACTCGTTTTTTTGCAAGATTAAACACATTGTACATATATTCCTAAGTCATACTGTCATGGAATATACATTTTTGATTATAACACTACAGTATTTTAAAAATTGTTCGTTGGTTAATTTACATGAACATTCAATATTGTACTTGGCTGCAATTAAATATTTTGCTGCAGGTGCCAAGAACTCACTCACACAGGGAATCACCAACTTAAAGGTCCGTGAAGAAGAGGATATGGCAGAATTGGAAAAGCGTTACCAGGAAAGAGTGAGTAGTTTTCTTAAAATAGTCTCATGCAAGAGGTGGCCAAGTGGCTCATAATTCAGAGCACTAAGCACGGTTGGCATCCTGGGTTCTAATCCAAGTAGCCACCCGTGAATAAACTGAGTTCTGAAGTGTGATGAGTTGATGGTCTCAGCCTGGCCACCAATGACTTTACAAAAATCCATATTAAATCAACATTTTCATATTATTTAGCAAAATTCCACCACTGAGTATAAAAAAATTATATCAGCTTTGTCATTCAACAGTCTTATTTCAGAGATTATGGGAAAGTGCACCCCATTCTGTCGGATAAAAAGGCTATTGAAAAGGTATATTTTTTATGGTAAATCCTCTGAAAAATCGATTTGGTTCACCATTCTCTGACACATGGGATGCACTGCTATGATTTCTAAATGGAATCGTTTGAGTCGTGGTATGATGCAGAAAACACAATTTGAATAATCTGGGGGAAAACATTTTAAAACCTCACATACAACATAATATATATTTGTGCACATGTATACAATAAAATGATTTAGAATTTATAGTAGAGTTCATTAAAGGAAAAAGCTTAGTATTGCATAATAAAGAGCAATACAATCATTTTAAGAAGTTAAGGTAAGGTGGCTTCACTGTTGAAACAGAAGGTTGTTTTAGTACATGTTATCGAAGTAAATGTGTTGAACAGATGAGCTTGCTTCACACAGATGAAACTTCAAAGACAACAGGCAAGAACAGGTGCAAATGGAAGGGCACCATCTCAAGCCAAAACACAGTCACGTGGAAAGGGAAAACAAGCCACACCATCTGGAAAGTAAAGATCTGCTCGGATGGGATATGGCTATAAGTATACTTTTCTGCATATTCAATTTCCCTTTAAAGCCTTCATTTCATTAAAATATGTACGTACATTGTAGGTATAAGATCGTAATATAGCTTATCATATTTGTAATATATTTTTATTGAAGAAAAACATATATAGTATCACTTAGTTTAAAAAAGTATATATACTCTGTTTTCTGAAGCAGTTTTAAGATTTGTTGTGGTATTATATATTGCATACACATTCCTTCTGGTTTAATATGAAAAATAAAATTCAACAGTACAAAAAGCCGTGTAACTTTAAAATGGAGTACAATGATACGTAAACTGTTCACAAAATAATGAAAGTGAATATTTACCAAAAACAATATTAAGCTTGATATATGACATTTTTGTGCTGATTTTGATTAAAACAGTATTCTTGACAACATCACTTGTTTTGTGACAGTAGATGACTATTAAATAAGCATGCATTGATTGTCTGAATAAACACATAGGCTAGTAAGAAGTAAACAATAATAATACTGTATTCACAATTGCAAATGTATATAAAAAACACTATCATGACAATTGTTTAAAAAAAAAACATTTAAAGAAATGTTGACATTGACAAGAATAAATCCAAGAACATTTCTTCATGATCGGATTATACCATTTCAATATGACTAGGATCATATCCATCTGAAAAACAAAAAAATAGTGTAAGTTTTATTATAAATGACGAACATAGCATTTCAAAATGACATTTAAAGAATTTTAACATTTCCCACATTAAAATAAGAGTACAACACCAAAAATACAATATAGTAGACATTTCTGTTAGGATACTCTGAAGGTTTCAATAAACAATACTGAAATGTAATACTTTTTTTTACGTGAAGATTATTTCGTAAGATAAAATGACGGCAGAAATGTGTAACGATTCATGCAGTATGATGTGCAAACTTGTTATGAGTGCCAATACCTTTACTTGACTGTTTTAGTCGGGATGGGAAGCAGGTTAGGAGCAAATGACATCCAGAGCAAGCAGAGTGTTAGTAGCTTCAGTGTTTGTTTTAACAGTGGGAACATGCAGAGGTAAGCAACCGTGCACATCCAGGCCATGTCCATTGTCCTTAATGGAATCCGATGCAGCAGCTTTAAGGTTGTCTGTGTATTCCCATGCGACTTGAGCATGCTCTGCAAGTGCCGTCCGGTTACACTCATTCAGCTGCCTATCTCTACGTTCATGCTTACTTAAACTGTCTACAAACCCATCATCCTTCACCAGACAGAGACAGCCAGGGATGTCAGAACAGTCTTCACATTCACCTTTCATAGAACAGACATTTTCTACTATTAGAGGGGATTTAGACTGCTCGATATGTTTCACACGAATTGTGCTTTTAGATTTCATTTTAATTGGGGAAAAGATCATGCTACAGCTTGAGTAGAATCGTGGCTCTGCAATGCAGCCAGTGATATTGCAATTGTACTGATCTCCAGATGCACAGATAACCTGGTTCCTAATTGTATTCTCATCATCTGTTTTTCTGTCAGGCTGATTTCCATTGGCATATTTTGGTGGTGACATTTCCTCTTGAGTGTGGCTTTCATACAGCTTTGTGCTGGTGTATGATGTTAGCTCCTCTTTACAAAGAATTACTAGAGATTTTTTTAGTTTATCTTTGTGGCTGTCACATTTGTTTTTAATTTGTAAACCATGTTCTGATGTTTCATTGTGTTCATTTTCACTGTAACCATTGATAAAGAGCATCTTTTTTTCACCAAATAAATTATTAGAGTTGTGTGTGGCCTTTTCTGTGCCTGTAGTAATGTCGCAAAAATTACCATCAAATTCCATGGTCAAGGCATCTTTGCTCTCTGTTGCAGTGCTGCTATCTGGTGCAAGAAGCGCATCTTCAGATATAGATATTCCAAGAATCCTTGCAGCCCTTTCAGCAAGGGACTCCTTGAGTGATGCAGATGTAAAACCTAACTCGGATTGATCTTCATGTTCATCTCCCAGTTCTTGAGAGGCAATAAGAGCCGTTAGATCTGGCTCTGAATGCCCATGTCTTCGTTGTAGTGATGACGATGGTGTGCTCATATAGACATCATTCCCATGGCTTCTGTTGTAATGTAAAAGTCTCTCACTTGGCCCCTTCTGATTGAAATGCAAGTTTTCTTTTTCCAAGTTATCTCTAATCCTGTTTTGTTCATTTCCATCATCATCATCAATTTCCACTTTGTTGGTAGTAGAGCCGTCAGATGAGTATGGTGATGAATAATCCCCTACATTTTGACGGCTATTTTTTGAGCCCCATGCAATGTGTGATCTTTCATACTGACTAGATGGCAGTTCTGAAAGGTTTGGCTCCGATTTTCTCCTCTCTAGTGTATGTGTCAGTTCATCCTTCTGCCCACTGGGCATGAGCACATGGAAGCGTTGGTAGACATCTTGAGGACGCTGGATGGAAGGATCGTGGTCTTGTTCTTCGGGATCATCTTGCAGCTCTCGATTTATGTTTTCCAACTCGCTCACCACATCCCATGGCCTTCTTCCCACGGGTCTCAGTAGAAACTGTCCAAAACTAAATGAATCTGCAAGACTGTTTCCTTTCAATGTTATTGTAGGAACTTGTGTATTGGCTTCGAGAGCTGCTTGACCATGTGCTCCTGTGGGTTCTTTTAAACTTTTGACTTTATAGAAGTACTTGCTATTGAACTTTTCCTTGTTACAATTTGTTCCTCTCTTTCCAGTTTCCCTGTTTTGCCAAGATTTGTTTCCTTTGGAGCTGACTTTAGTATTACCTTCTTTAAGAATCTGCATTTGTTTTCCATTCATTTTAGATCCAAATTCACTTTTAATTTCCTCAGTTTTCTTTTCACCAGTAATATGGGATGTATTTTGTGAATTTTGGGTTTTCCACCTGCAATTAGAAGCTTGGAAATGTTTACCCTCCACTTCTACAGCATGCCCATGAATTTGTCTATTTTTCTGTGACACAAATGTTCGTTCATCAGGATATAGCTGCTTTGGAACACAGTGCAAGGTAACATTATTAAGCGGATGTTTTTGTGATAGTGGTTTTTGACGTGTGTCATACATTTTTGCTTCACCTTTTAGTTCAGAACTAAATTTCAGTGGGTGACTTAATATTTGGCTTTCACATGCATGCTTTTTCGCCTTTTCCTCTGCTTTTTCTTTGGCCTTGCGTGCCTCTTCCTCGGCGATCATTTTCCCAGTGAGTGCTTGCAGCTCCAGCTCACTTGCAGACTGCGTGTGTTGGTGGGAGTGTTCGGGAACGGCGTTACCGCTGCCTTTTGACACATCTGGGAGCCAAATGCCACCTTGATCCGCATCCACAGACTGACTTGGCACGGAGATCAAACAGAACACAGTTTCTCCCACAGCTCCTCGCTGATGCACGCCGGTCCGGACTCCAAGCAGGCTACGTGGCATCTGACCACCACTTGCTTCATGTGTCTTGTCACCTTGAAGAATACCCTCTTTTTTATCTGTATGCAACACAGATCTATGTTCACTTGCTGTTTCTTGTATGTGGCCCTTTCTTGAGTGAAATGCATGATCAGCACTTGTTGAGGTACTGTCCGGATATTTTAACTGCATGTACGTTATGTCATCTGAATGCATTTTATGCTTGTTGATTTCATGGTTTGACTGTGAATTTCTCCAAACATATGAATCCTGATTTAGTACAGGTAACACAAGTGATGGAGGTGGTATTTGCTTTGAGTGCAACAATTGTTTGTCTAAACCTTCCTTTACTTGAATGTAGTTTACAGAATTGTTGTCATTTGTAGACTTCCTCACACTGTGACCATTGTCTTGATTTTGGCGTTCAGTTTCCCAGTGTGCCTTGGGGACAATTCGCACCCGTGGGTCTGTGAATGGAATGTATTCAACACGAGCCGTTCTAAGTTTTTGTTTGTTTTCACCAATAGAGTCAATGCTGTTTTCATTGCTTGCATGTTGATTTTGCTGATATGTATTATCTTTATATTGAGAAATGTAATCTGGTGGCTTGATGTATGTGGGCAGCTGTACATTTTGATATTTCATTTGTGATTCAGGAGGCATAAATAATCTGTCTGGGGAAAATTCTGCTGATGACTTGTACTGCCCATTTTCATGTGTACTCATATGACAGCACAAGTTTTTCAATTGAACTTGTGTTGTTGGTCCCTTGTAGCAATCTTTGCTTCTCATTTGGTACATCTCGTATGTTGGCGGTGGAGGCCTGAATGTTTGAGGTTTTTCAATCTTCTCTGTTGGTAGGGGAGTTGCTTCAAAATATTGTTTTCCTGTGTACAATATTGCATGTGCATCTGATGTTGCCTGGAGGGAAGTGCTTCCTTTACCTGGATTCACCAACATGTCTCTGCTGTCCTGACCACACTGACTTGAGAAGTAATACATCCCGGACATGTCTTGGTAGTCACTACAGCAATGGCTTGATACATATTTGGAATTCCCTTTTTCTCTGCTGTTCCTGTGCATATTTTTACTTTGATCGGTCAATAATGCGTAGTCTGGATTTATTTTACTTTGTTGCAGCTGTGTAGTCTGTGGTGCAGAGTTCTGAGATAATTCCAAGGTCGGAGGTTCAGCCTTGTATGGTGGAGGCTGCGGGTAGGTGCTGGGGCGTGGGAGTGCTTCTGCATTAGCAGAGTAGCCGTGCAATCCAGAATATTCCGAGGGAAGAGTCGAGTCACGAGAATCTGCAGGGTACGGTGGGGGGTTTGCCTCGCGAGACACTGCATTCTGGTTGAAAGGGCCATGCTGCACTGTGTTGTATGATGGGGGTTGATCTCGTAACCCTGCAAGGTAGGCAGGCGGAGAGACGTCAACTTGAGGCGGTTGGTGGTTTGTGTAGTCCAGCAGCACGCTGAAATCCTGCCCACGGCGCCGCCAGTAACTCACGCTTTCATCTGATCCCTCCAATAATGGAAGCTGGTTTTCAAAGTTCCTGCAGAACAAAATAAATATTGTGACAAAAATGCATCAATACTAGAACGCTTTTAGAATTTGTAACTTTCTGCTTTTTCTTTTCAATGAGCCATTGCTGAAATGCTGGGTCAAGGGTAGACATCAATCATGTGCGACTGTGTGTTTTGCAGAGCATGCTGTTTTGCATTCTTTTTTTATACATATTTCTGAAACATTTAGGACATCTTAAAGAGTTTAACTATTGGAACAATATTTTAAGTACTGGTGACTAATTAATCATATTCAAAAGGATTACAATGTCTTTGTGAACGCCTTATACAGTGTATACAGTATCGCATCGCATCCCCTTAAGAATTTTACAACACTGTATTTTAAGCAGTTTCTCTGCCAATTCGTAATCGGATGCAGACCATTCATTGATAACAAAGACGGGCCATTTCAAATCAAGACATGCCCTTTGGCTCAGTCTTTGTATTATATTTGCCATGTCCGTTACAAGGGTGACAACATTTTATTGGTATTTCATGGGTTTGGAAGAAACTTTCAGTATATGGGGTGGGAGGGGGCATGAATATCAGGATAATAATCCCCAAAACGGAAGCCAAGACCGTGAGGTTGATGTTGCCTTGGTGAAATCCAAACTTCAACATACCATGTGTCTGAGCTCATATTTCTTCAGGAGTACATCTTTCATATAGCAGGTGTACCCTGTTGCCAGTTGATTGTGATTACTTTCTAATCACCCATATAAATTACTAGAGTGTAAAACCAAACCGTGGCCGAATGATTTATGGCGTAAAAGTTAGCACAGCAGTGGAAAACAAGCAGAAAAATAATACTGGGAACTGCAATTGTTCCACACTGAGTAACTATCCATGGCATAAATGATGTATGCAGCACTTTAAAACAAGACAAAAATAAAATACTGTACCTGGTATGGCTGCCAGGATGCAACCACAGCAAGCTTATCAGGGATTCTTATTTCGGTCATCTATATTGTATGAATTGCACCAACAGTGGGCATTCATATAATGTGCCCACAGGTGTATATCTAGGCATGTAACTGCATCGATTAACATTTGAAATTGATTCTTGTGATCAGAGTACTTGCAGAGAATTGTGCCCTTAAGAATCAATAGTTTAAAATGTGTGTATATTGTTTGACTGGTCCGCATAAATCCTGCAGCCTATTGATGTGTTAGATAGGCGTGTTCAAGCATCACGTAAAGGTATCTATGTGGTGTTTGAAAATCTTAACTCCTGGTTTATTGCCAGAAAGGGTAAAACCTATTCTATTTAAGTTTTAACAGTTGACGTAATGCACTGTTGTCACATTCTATGCATATGCCAGTGGGTTTTTTATAGGCATACAGTAAGTACTGTATAAGCAGCATATATATACATACACATTTGTGTAATCTGTTCGTTTCTCAAAATAAATTATATTACAGCTGTTCAAACAAAGTACAAGCACATTTCATTTCAGGCAAATGACACAAAGAAAGGAAATTATGTCTAAAAATGCTGAACTTTTTTGACGGTGCGTTTTTCTCCAGCGAGCTCCTCACCTTATGGTCACAGGGGGGCTTTGGTGCTGCATTTGCCCCTCTTCATAGCTCGCCTTTTCACTTAAGAGCTCTGCCCTTTCCCTGGAGGGCTCGGCCCTTGCGGGGTGCTCTTGTAGTGGCAGGCTGGAGTGACGTGTGGCGCGGGGAGCGGGCGGTGCGTCGTGCCACACATCCTGACCAGGAAACCCCTGCTCCAGCTCTGACCGGGGCGGCTCCATCCGGAGTGGAGGCTGTGTGCTGCTGCCGGATGTCGGCCTCCTGCCCGACCTGAAGCCATGGGAAGCCAGCAGGTCGGCAACGCTGTACATATTCTTCAGTAGCCGGTGGTTTTTTCAAGGCCACTGTCCTTCACTGCGCTCACACTCCCACTCTCCGCTTCCTGCCGAACGATTATTCAGGATGAGAGTGCCTGATTTGCAACAACAACAAGATATATTAAAATTATTCTTGTATTTGTTTTCGGAATAAAGTACTTAACGAGAATGAATGTACCACAACAGCAGTGACCATAAGAAATGGAGTTGAAGATATATTTCATAGTCTAAATACAAAGTAATTTAAAGAGGTGGCATAATACCAGCAAGCTATGCAATTACATTAATCGGGATCATCTGTACATTGTCTAAATGCCCTCAAGTGAAACAAGTATGGAAATTAATGTAATGGGAATGGATGACAAGGACACGTGCCTTTTTTATCCCCACTCTTATCTGTGCCATCTCGTACCGCTTAAAAGTATATTTCACGAGTTAAAGAAACATTGTATTCAAATATCTTTTTAAACTCTTGTTTTTATCAAACTTAACTCCTTTGCCATTAGCTTAGCTTTACGCACACTTCATGGTGCACATTTCTCTGTAAATACTTTGTGACAGCATTCAATGTGAATTTAAATGAAAGGTTCATCTGGAGAAAGGTTCACTCTGGCAAGCGTTCCCATTGTGCAAACACATGGACATTCCACACCGCCGATTTTTTTTTCGTTTTAAAAACACTTAAAGTGGTGCAGTCCCACGCTGCAGACCCAGATTTAAAGAGCAATCTGGCCCAAGATTGCTGGGGTTTTTTCCACCAACACAAGTCTGTAAATATGGGCAAACATTTTAATTACGGTATGTGCCGAGAATGCAGCCATGGCTTAAATCCCACTACTCGTGCCATTAATTTCTTCAGACCCAGTGTGTGAATATGTACAAAAAAAGTACTGTGTTCAATTGCCAGCAGCCTTCCTTAGGCTGCACCTGTACTAACTGGGAGAACTGCTTTCACCCGAGAGCCGTGACCTGCTATGCTGAGAATTTGATACATCTGGAGATTTGGGAAAGATGGAGGTTGGGATGGTTTAGTCATTACTACACCCATGATGCAATTTTAAAGCATACCCTTAGAAGGAATTAGAAGCAAGGCCAATCATCTGGTTTTCATGTGCATGGTGAAAAATGTACTCAAAGTCTTCTAAAAGCTACTCGTACTTTTGCACAAATGTAAGATATTCTAAAACAATGGCTTTTTTTTAGGAAGCAGATTTAAAAGGTGGGTAGTTCAATTACAGTACTACATGAAGTGTTATTTGGTGGTAAATCCATCAATGAATATACATTTTAGAATTCTCTTGTCATCAGTTTTTGCTTCGGTGCCAATATAAATGTAAACTAATCAGACACAGGTGCATAATGGCACCCATACGTGAACTTCAAAGTCACAGTGGCAGGTGCAACTCTGAACCAGGTGTGGCACTGCAACAAAGTACTGGATGATTTACTGCAACACTCATTCAATAAACAGCATTGGTAAAGAACCAATACTAACCGCTCATGGCCATTGAAATCGTTCGAGAGTTGGATTTAAGACAAGGAAATCCAAACACCAGTTTTTAGATGTGTTGTTGCTGCCCTTGTATTACGTTCATAAAATAATTTGGAAGGACAAAGACAAACTGTACAGTTGTCTGCCTTAAGGCTTTAACACAGGATATGAGACATCTTGTCTCTGGACCTTGCAGCGTACCTCAAGGGTGGGGTATGAAATAGTTGTTGGGAGTATCTGGCCAAGATGACCTCAAACACCCACATTTTATACTTGTGCCATTATTGCAATGCGGAAAGACACACCTAAACTTTGAATCATGTTTTAAAAAGTACTTTGGAGTAAAATCAGTAATGTCGACATCTTAGTCTGTGAAAAGTCTGCCTTTGTTTAATTGTCAGACAGGATATTGGTTTCACACAAAAGGCGATTGTAGATTGTACAAAATCAGTATATCCGTGCCTGAGTAAATGTATGAGCATACACACACCAATGTAAAGATATGTGGTAGGCAAACTTATATGCCAAAGTGTGTGGGTTTGTGGGCTCTTAACTTTGTTTGCATTTGGGTGAGTGTGTGTCGTTAGGGCGGGTTGATTGCATTTCCTGGACATGTGATCCAGTAAGGGACCTGGTGGGCGAGGAAGTGACTTTTTAGTTTGGGTCACGTATCGCATTTCACGGATCATTCCCGGTGAGCTTAACCCCTCATCTCCCAAAGGTTATCGTTTCTCTGCTGAAACATACTTTAATTACCCTTTTGAAAAAAAAAACCGATAGAACATCCTCTCACAAAGCAGCTCATCTTTTGGAGTGAAACATATTTAGACACCCCCAAAGGATCCGATGGTAAATCATGTATTCCTTTGATTACCTATGGGAATGTTTGAATCCAATAATATTTAAGCATATTTAAATCACATCACACTTTATAAAAGAGATGCCATTAAGGTTTTAAAACAAAAAAGTTGCACCAACCTAGTTTTAGCAGTTATTGAAAAGTTCACGAATCACATAAATGATGCACGTCAGGCCCTGCTTCGTCAGGGCATCAAATGGGAAGTCTGATTCAACTTACTCTTCTGAACATTTTTTAACTGTCCTTCATTCCTTGAGTCCTTTTTAGGTGCTTTTCATTTAAATTCACATTGTTGAAATACAGTTTAAACAAATACATGCAAAGATAACGTTCTCAATCAGCATTTATTTGACCAAAATCCATTATTTATAATTTTTTTCCATGTGAAAAAACGGTTCAGCTCATTTAATGAGCATACAAAGTTATATTAACTTATGACTAAGCCCATCTTGAGGTTTCACTGTAAGCACAATCACAGGAGCTAGTGGCTGCAACTGAATATATTCCAAAGGCAGGCAAGGTTCTTCTCTTGTTCGATGTTCAAAATGTATTTGTACCCCGACCCCAACCATCATCTACAGCCTTTTGTTTTACTTTATGCTATCACACATTTGTGATTTGACTTGAATAACCATTTGCAGTTATAAAACCTTCGGGTATTTTGCCATCCATTGTGAGTGCCCGATCACAGGTTTGGATTTGTGTTTGAAATAATAATTTACATATGTGTAAGGCACATTTAACTGATATACGTTTAGGCCAGGGCATGCGAGTAGAAAAGGTATGAAAACATGTTATTGTAAAGTTCACCACCATGGGAGTAAATGCCGTGCTTTAGTCAACGTTTGCAATGAATTGTGAAATAGTACAGAGAGAGTGCAAACACTAAGGAGGTTTAGAGACCGAGGCCTGGAAATGTGAGCGTTTCAGCGACTGCTCGTGAGAGATGCCTCGACTGGCAGGGCACCGAATGCCTCATTCCATACAGTATGGAAGCTAACCGGTTTATATTTCAAAGCCAAGTTATTCCCTGGCTGCAGCTTTTAAGGATGAATTCTTTCCTAAAAATGCAATATACTTAGCCAGCCAAAAAGTGCTTTGGTGAACTGAGCGTACTGTACCCGCATATAACCGCCTCGATCTGCTGCTTATATTGGATTTACTGCACCTCCTTTACCTCCACTTTGTTATTTTGGGAACATGTAAAATTGTTTTTTACATGTCTCATTTCAACACAGCTGTGTTGGGTTTAGATCCAGGAGTCTGGAATTATGTTTTCACTGACTTTTTTCCCCCATCTCCTGTGCCCGTATAGAGGTATTGCTGGCGGTTGGCAGATCCACTAGTTATGTAGGAAAGGAATGGCTTCACCTATAGAACCCAAGGCATGAGCACTTTGTGAGCAGACAGCACAGTCTGTGTACCTACTGTATAGCGGGCAGGCATGGTGGATATGGCAAGATGTGGTGCAATGTTTGTAGAAGCACTTTGCTGGTGAAGTAAAATGGAAGGGTACATTTTAAAGGAGTGTGGCAAGTTAAGAGTTTAATTTGCACTAACACCTAGTGCTGCTAAAATGTCAGTGAAATTACTCACCTGCATACACAAACTGTTTTCCAAATCAAGACATTTAATGCGTTATTCGTAATAGTTTTGTCACAAAATAATGACCACCACAACGAACTTGCTGATTTTGGCAAGATATAAATACTTGACCTTATATGAGTCAGCAAGGTCACATGGTGGAAAGATAAAAATGTGGTATGTGTGGCCGGATTAGTGTGGAATAAACACGTCTGAAATTGGCCCATTGTTTGCCCTCATTCAAAAGAGTTTTTGCCGACTCGAGAGAAAACCCTAAGCTGGGTTACACAAGGATGAACAAATCCTTGTTATTTAAAAACATTCAATGGGAACGGCCAGGCTGAGATGTATTTACATTGTGGTCTTGTTGGTGGCACAGTTTATATACTTTTGTTGCACCATACAGGTGTTATGCTTTAGACTATTCTTGAAGAAATATGACATGAAAGAGTATTCTAGATTTGAAGCTTTCGTGACTGCAAGGATTCATACTTTTTGTTTTTTTCGGTAAAGTCACGTAGGTAAAAAAAATGAAATATTTTTTATTTAAAATATTTTTTATTTTATTTTACCTACGTGACTTTACCGAAAAAAACAAAAAGTATGAAAGAGTATGTTAATAAATATCCATTATCTTGTGGATTACCTTGTAGATTATCCAATGGTTGGATTATCCAATGGTTTTTAAGTCGCATTCAATAAATCGAGCTCTGCAGCTTGTGAACACAATGGCCACGTGCTCTCCCACACAAACGGCAAATCCTTTTACTCTTCTTGCAAAAGGAGTGGTGTCGAGTCTCTGTCGGCACCTAGAACTGGGGGGGAGGGGAAGCAGCGGTTGTTTTTGTTTTGTCGCATTTACTCACTTTGTGACTTCAATTGTGTTGGCACCCTGTTCAATGCATGGGCGTAGTCAAGGTGGGGGTACCCGGGCCAGTCTTTCCCACTTAAGGGGGAGGGGGGCTAGTTAGCGGTTGTGAAATTGTGAATAGGTTCAAGCAGGCAAGACTACATCGAGCGGTCATACTGGATTTCACATTAAACCCAGTTGTATGCGCAAGATGTATATGTGCAGAGGAATAATGTGGCGAGTATATGACTGCTGAGAGCATCAACAGCCTATGGTAATGTATGCGTACAAATGCTGACATTTGTACGAGCATTCCCGCACCTAAAAAATATTGGCAATGCGTTTTAATTTATGTCTATTAGTAGGGGTGGGGGGGGATTTGCTAAACGTTACAAGAATGTTGGAATATCTGTACACGAAGTGGTGGGTTGGAGCGTGTCCTTGAAACTGTTATCTTGACACGTTTTGATTCACGTGGAATTTAGATAGAAAGCAGGCCACCCATCAGCCCTGTGTGTAACGGCGCATTCCACCACAGGACTCATCAGATAACCGAAGTTGCACTTAGAATCACGCCAAGTATGGTGTGCCCACAATGCCAACAGAAACATTACATCACTTCGTAAGACGGAAAATCTGCACAAAAATATAAGAGACGATGTTTATTGGTCTTATTATTTATTTTCCAAAGGACTATAATTATTTAAAAGACAGAACAAGTGGTATATGCTACGTAACGCAATTTTTTTTTTACATTTTTAAGAGTTTGATATAAATGGCATTACTGCATTGCTGTATTTTGGAAGTGCTGGCGAAGTGCTGAACGTATTGTTCAAAGAAGGCCGGTAACCTGAGTTCGATTCGCACCCACGGCTAACATCAGTGGCCAGTGATATCTGAACTATTCTCTTCCAAGCCCCACTCCCTTCACCCTTCACCCAACTCGCACTCACCATCAGCGGTTAATGTCTGTCCAGACAACTGCAATCACCGACACGGTGTTGGAAGGACTATCGTCCAACAGTTTATTGACAAAGGATCGTCAAGTATTTGTTCGTGACCGTATTGTATATCACATTAACTGTGTATGTATTTAGTTGTTTCCCCGTTGCACTCCACGAAGAGAAAAGAGCCATTACGGTAGCGGGAGTGTGTTCGTCTCTGGGCCATGTTTACTTTCCCGTTGCCATGAAAAAAACATTCGCAGCCCAGGCTGTCCCAGCTCGGAACAAAACAGCCCAAGGTCTCCCAGCCACGTTGCTTGCAACAAACCCAGGCGCGTTACCTTTTGCCCGTGGCTCCTGCTCATCATGCTGCCGCTGTCGAGACAGACCACGAGTACGCAACACCACACACCAGACGCGCCACAGCAGCGCTGTGGCGCACGAATAAACACTGAAAAGGAACAAACACATATGAAAGGGGGGGTGGAAACACCACGTACAAACGCTCCTGTGATTTATAAACGAACTTACTTCGGTTAAAGGAGGGCAGATTAAGCGGCGATGGTGATGTCACCACAGCACCCGAAGGTGATGCGATGGCGCTCGAATGTTTTTGTTGTTGCTGCAGAGAAACGCTCCAGTGTCTTCAAGGTTCCCACCGGTCCCACGGAGTTGTAACAACTAAACTACCAAAACTCTGAATGAGAGGTCAGGGAGCCTGGGCTCTACCAACTGCAAGCGCAGCAAGGGGGGTGGGCGGTGGTGGTGTCGTGCAGGATTGTTGTGTGGGGGTTTGAGAGCAGTCGGGCTATACCACTGCAGACGCACACCAGACTTTTGTTTCCCCAATAATGACTTTTTTTTTACAGTCATCAGTTTGCTTGTTTTACGATTGCGTGTGACGTGTCAAACTCTTTAAGCCTATTCAGAACTGCAAAAGTTAACGGTTTGTTTCAGAGTGTCTCCGGTGTAATTGCCAACGCAAAGGCTGAGCTGGTAAGGCAGAATGGGTGTGCCAGGCACTGTGTCACACTCCAGCATTCCAGGAATTTGAGATCAGCAGACACGTGTTTGTGCATATGTACCACTTTGTCTCCCACCAAGGAATATACAGTATTCTATTTAATCCTACATTTATATCATATATACATTACTTTTAATAACATGCATTTAAAAAAATATTTCCAAAGCTATATTAATTTAAATTATTCAAGGGTCATTTCCCAATTCCGTATATCCCCTTAAGGACAATTTTACCGTTTTAACGGATAATTTGACTGGTGAATTTGAGATCACTGGCAGCAGTAGCATATTTAAATTGTGTAAACACCACAATTGACAGGTTACAGTCCCTTTCTGTAACTAGTACCTGCAAGAGGCTTTACGCACACACTAATGCTCCATCGCCATCACTTACATATTAATGGTAATATATGAAAACAGTGTTCATGTCGGAGTGAGCTCTCACGTCGTTATACTGTACTGTATAATAATAAAAACACTGCTGTATGTGCTAAGCTATTCTGCAGAAAATATAGCTCGCGCTTGCACATCTCACGCTGATTCGTAACTGTCTGGGCATGTGCAGACACGGATGTATCAGATGACATCATATCTAAAGTGTTCTAAATTGACAGGCAGGTGACAGTGATGATGTTTTGGTAGAAAGACAAGTCACCAAAGGTGTGCGTGCTCGGACTACGGTTATGTGCATTTTGGTGGTTTCACTTTTAAATATCTGAAACCGTAACTTAAACATCAAAAGTAGAATCTTACAGCAAATCACGTGAGAGTGCAACAATGTACGAAATGCAACCTATGCGATGTGTCTTCACTTTCCACACGAGCCACAGAGTAGAACATTTACTCCGATCACTCATTTCACACTTTCAACCACAAAGCCAGTGTTTAAATAGAGAGAGAGGTGTCCAAGGGTCATTAAATGTCCCTCGCTCACCGAAATACCACCACGAAAGAAAATATTTATAGAAGCATTTTTCTTACGGTGAATTAGCCAATGTCAACTGAATAGTATGCTTCACTTGCATGATGGTAGATTTTCACTAAACAATACATGCACATTTTCACATGTGTCTGTATGTGCTCAAATATAGTTCTATGAATACATTTTATTTGTTTTCAATGGGAAGTTACTGTTACATCTTTGGTAAGTGAAACACAGAAATACGTATTAATGGCATATTTGATTACCTCATTAGTCCCATTAATTTGAAATCTGAAAATGAATCTGAAAACTTCCGGTACAAAGTATTAAGAAGAAGGTTTGTACTCGCTGTGGAATGATCGTTGCTTTGAAACGAGATTAAATGTGAAGGATTAAGAATTTGTTATACAGTGAGGGAAAAAAAGTGTTTGATCCCCTGCTGATTTTGTACGTTTGCCCACTGACAAATAAATGATCAGTCTATAATTGTAATGGTAGGTTTATACTGGTAGGAACGAAGTTGTAAACTGAGTGTACCAGCCTGCAATAGATTAATGTGTCCGTCCGTCCGTCCCCTTTCAATACTTTAACGAAGTGAAATATCGTGCTGTTGGGTGTAAAATCAGCAATAGACAGCGCAGAGACTTGTCCTACCAGCCCACCCTGCAGGGACCTGTTTTGAACAGTGAGAGACAGAATAACAACAACAAAAAATCCAGAAAAACGCATGTTAAAAATGTTATAAATTGATTTGCATTTTAATGAGGGAAATAAGTATTTGACCCCACTGCAAAACATGACTTAGTACTTGGTGGCAAAACCCTTGTTGGCAATCACGGAGGACAGACGTTTCTTGTAGTTGGCCACCAGGTTTTCACACATCTCAGGAGGGATTTTGTCCCACTCCTCTTTGCAGATCTTCTCCAAGTCATTAAGGTTTCGAGGCTGACGTTTGGCAACTCGAACCTTCAGCTCCCTCCACAGATTTTCTATGGGATTAAGGTCTGGAGACTGGCTAGGCCACTCCAGGACCTTAATGTGCTTCTTCTTGAGCCACTCCTTTATTGCCTTGGCCGTGTGTTTTGGGTCATTGTCATGCTGGAATACCCATCCACGACCCATTTTCAATGCCTTGAATGAGGGAAGGAGGTTCTCACCCAAGATTTGACGGTACATGGCCCCGTCCATCGTCCATTTGATGCGGTGAAGTTGTCCTGTCCCCTTAGCAGAAAACACTCCCAAAGCATAATGTTTCCACCTCCATGTTTGACGGTGGGGATGGTGTTCTTTGGGTCATAGGCAGCATTCCTCCTCCAAACACGGCGAGTTGAGTTGATGCCAAAGAGCTCGATTTTGGTCTCATCTGACCACAATATTTTCACCCAGTTGTCCTCTGAATCATTCAGATGTTCATTGGCAAACTTCAGACGGGCATGTATATGTGCTTTCTTGAGCAGGGGGACCTTGCGGGCGCTGCAGGATTTCAGTCCTTCACGGCGTAGTGTGTTACCAATTGTTTTCTTGGTGACTATGGTCCCAGCTGCCTTGAGATCATTGACAAGATCCTCCCGTGTAGTTCTGGGCTGATTCCTCACCGTTCTCATGATCTTTGCAACTCCACGAGGTGAGATCTTGCATGGAGCCCCAGGCCGAGGGAGATTGACAGTTCTTTTGTGTTTCTTCCATTTGCGAATAATCGCACCAACTGTTGTCACCTCACCAAGCTGCTTGGCAATGGTCTTGTAGCCCATTCCAGCCTTGTGTAGGTCTACAATCTTGTCCCTGACATCCTTGGAGAGCTCTTTGGTCTTGGCCATGGTGGAGAGTTTGGAATCTGATTGATTGCTTCTGTGGACAGGTGTCTTTTATACAGGTAACGAGCTGAGATTAGGAGCACTCCCTTTAAGAGTGTGCTCCTAATCTCAGCTCGTTACCTGTATAAAAGACACCTGGGAGCCAGAAATCTTTCTGATTGAGAGGGGGTCAAATACTTATTTCCCTCATTAAAAGGCAAATCAATTAATAAAATTTGTGACATGCGTTTTTCTGGATTTTGTTGTTGTTATTCTGTCTCTCACTGTTCAAATAAACCTACCATTAAAATTATAGACTGATCATTTCTTTGCAGGTGGGCAAACGTACAAAATCAGCAGGGGATCAAATACTTTTTTCCCTCACTGTATGTATCCAGTGGAGGACTCACAAAGGGCTATAAAAGGCCATGAATTGTTTCTCTTCCCATTAGTTTCCAGTTACGGTATTGACATGTACATTTGCATTGTTTAAACAACTGAAGAATTTGGTATTTGAACATTTGCATAATTTAAATTCAACACAAAAAGTAAATCCCATTTCGATATTTCAGCTGTTCAATTATTATAAATACTGTTGTACTTTTTCTGTCAATCACTGATTGAACTTGACGTCTGAAATGGGTACTATTCACACTTGTGAAAAGGCTGTACAGTATACATACACTGCACCTTCCATGTGTGCAAGCGATGTGCGGTGTTGTGGTGTTTACTCGTGGCGCACAATAGGTGGCGATGTAAGGCAGCAGCATTCTGTACAATTGCTAGAATTTGGTGTCAATTGATCCCCATTCACCTTCATCGAGGATTTAAGATGGCTTAAATCCTGTAGGAATTTTGCAGTGCGATTACATACAAAGCATTCTAGAGTATTTGTTTAATATTGCAATATAACTGCCCATACACATTCTTTGGAATTGAATTTACATTGCAAGTTGAAGTAAAATTATCTTGTGTTTCAGATGTCTTCCTCAGTAGTAGTATTATTTTAAAAGCCTCAATCTAGTGTTAACCTCTCCCTTAGAACTCTAGCATTAAAATATAATGGTCAGCCCCAAGTAAAAACTGGTATCACTGCGGTCTTTTGGTGAATCGTCTTTGCCAGAGTTTGCGCATACTTAATGTGCACATTTTTTTGCCTCCACATGTCGTTGAAGTTTCTTCATCGTACGTACGGTTATGACTCTTGCCACTCTCTGAGATCAGTTTGGTGGTGCCGGCTTGTTAAAATAGATGCGAGGAAGGTCTGAAGACCTACCTGCAGGCAATGACGGTCACTCTAATAGTATAATGAATAATTCTGCAGAAATAACATGGATGCGAAGCGTGCTCATTTTGCAACTGCGATCACCAGCCTTAAACATCTGCACCATTTCCTAGTTTTATACACAAACTAAAATTGGGATATTATCATATCTGATATGAGGCATTGCCTTAGAGGCCGTCCATAAATTACCCCCCTCAAATATGACGTCACAAAGCTCTGCCCCCCCCCCCAAAAAAAAATATATAAAACATGCTTCAAATCGCTTTAAACTATTGTCATTGTAGTGCGTATTTAATGTGCCGCTGCACTCTGATGTTGTAGGAGAAAACATTTATTAAAAAGTATATTTAATTAAGTAGAACGTATTGTTTATGTTTATTTAAAGTTTCGCATTTTGATGTGACGTCACATTTCTCAAACCCCCCCACCTCGTCACACATCGTCACAAATGTCTGACCCCCCTCCCCCCTAGGTGTGTGACGTCATTTATGGACGGCCCCTTAAATGAATTGAACGCTTTTCTCCATAAACTGCAGGGACGTTGATCTCAATGGGATATTCTGCCACCTACTGGCCATTGGAAAAAAGTTTAAATCCAACGTGATTACAGTACTATACTGCTTTTTGTGATCTCTGATTAATGTTATATTCTTTGTGAACTTTCTTTCAATGTTGTCCTGTTGAATACAACTAAAACATATT